AACCCGCGTGGGGGGAAGGCGTACGGGCTTGACACATCACTCTTTGAGAGGACTGCTGATGTGGAGACATATGGGGGCAAGAAGTTTCCCGTTGCGAGCCTTGATACACAGAGACGCATGCACCCGACGATTGCATGTCTTGTTAGGAATACGCTATACCCATATCTAGTTGACCATCCCGATACTGCGGATCGTCCCAGTGTCAAGGGGATGGCTCGGAGGATGTTCTGGATGGATCACAGGGTGCTTGAGGATGGTGCGGATAAGCTGGAGCTCATCCAGACATCGCATGCGAACGAGTTTGAAGCCGATATGGTTGTTGAGCTGGTACGACACCTTTCAAGGCAGGGCGTCTACAAGAGTGGGGAGATTGCAGTTCTCTCGCCGTACCTAAGGCAGCTGTTTGTGTTGCGGCGGAAACTGGCATCGATGTTTGAGGTTGTGGTTGGTGATCGAGATCAGGAGCAGCTGGACGAGGAGATGAGCGGTGATGAAGAGATGCAACCAATAGCAGTACCAGTGATAGTCCCATCCCAGCAGGTGAAGAAGGGGAGTCTTCTGAATGAAGTGAGGGTTGCTACAGTAGACAACTTTCAGGTTTGCATAATCCTGCCCGGGCATGTCGCAAGAGATTGTTTCCATTTTAATAATGTGAGTTTTAGGGAGAGGAAGCCAAAATCATTATCATCTCGTTGGTGAGAAGCAATAAGGAGAAGAAGTGTGGGTTTTTGAAAACATCAAACAGGATCAATGTATTGCTCAGGTTCGTACACCAAAAGCCCAAAGGCTTTCGATGCACATCCAGCTAACATTGCGCCACAGCCGAGCAATTGATGGGATGTATATCATTGGCAATGCAGAGACATGCCGTCCCATCGACATGTGGTCAAAGGTGATTACCATGTTTGAAAGAGGCCAAAATATCGACAAAAGACTGGAGCTCTGCTGCCCCCGCCACCCTGAAACGCCAATCTTTGTCGCCGAACCGGATGACTTCCATCTCTTCTCCCCCGAGGGAGGCTGCAGTGAGCGCTGCGAGTGGCGACTAAAATGCGGTCACCCATGCTTGAAGAAATGCCACTCGGAGGTGCTTCACCAGAGTACAATGTGTCTGGAGCCCTGCAATCGGACATTCCAACACTGCACACACATATGTCCCAAGCCGTGTGGTGTGGCCTGCGGCAAGTGCGACGAGAGAGTACGCGGAGTGCGTCTGGCTTGCGGCCATGCACCGTCCTCTCTGCGGTGTCATCAATTGCAGGAACTCTCGGAGATTCGTTGTCGCCAAAGGGTTCAACGGAAGCTCTCAGCGTGCGGCCACGAAGTCATGATGGAATGCCACCAGGACCCCGATGTCCACCGGTGCTCTCAGCCCTGCGGCGGTGTTCTGCCATGCGGGCATCCGTGTCAGTCTCGTTGCACCGAGTGCACGAGGGTGCGGAACCAGGGCGAAGAAGGGGCCACGGTAATCTCAGTCCATGGGAAATGCAAGAAGCTATGCGGAAGGAAGTACACAAACTGCCCACATGCCTGCATCAGCTCCTGTCATGGGGGGGAGGCATGCCCGCCCTGCAAGCAGCAATGCGAAATTCGCTGTGAGCATTCGCGGTGCGGAAGGACCTGCACCGAACCCTGTGCTCCCTGTGCGGAACGGTGCTCGTGGACATGTGTTCATCGACAGGAACGCTGCGAGATGCCTTGTGCCGTCCCGTGTGACATCAACCCGTGCTCTGAGCGATGTGAAAAGCAACTTGACTGTAGCCACCAGTGTCCGTCTGTGTGTGGAGAGAGGTGCCCGCCTGCGGAGTTCTGTCAGGAGTGTGGGACGGAGGACGCGTTGGGCAGGTTGGTGGATCTGATCACGCTTGAGCCGTACTCTGAGATCAATGTCGATACGGATCCGATCATTGTGCCAACCTGTGGTCATTTCTACACCATGGAGACGTACGATAAGATCATGGGGATGAAGAATGCATATGAGATCAACGAGCTCGGGCAGATTGTTGGTCCAAAAGCACTGGATGGAAGTGGCGGAACCACCGGTGAGCGCAATAATGAAGAACCACCGGATAGGCTGGTGGTGAAGAACTGCCCAGACTGTCGATCACCTCTCAGAGACATCCATCGATATAATCGCATCGTGAAAGTGGCCTGTCTGGACGAGTCGACTCGAAGGTTCTGCACGAATTCCCAAGCCAACTTTCTGGAAATATATCAGGAGGTCTCCGACGCCCAGGATCTCTTCCAAGCAAACCGGGATGAGTTCATTAGGAGGCTTCATGGGGCTCCCAAGATACGTGGAAGAGAAGGCAAGATTCCACAGGCCGTTCAGGACCGGACTCGTAGGACACTCATGTTAGGAGCAAAGATCCAGCGTTTTATCGGAACTGTGTCCGAGGAAGAACAGCCCTACTCCAAAGTTCGACAAATGGCCATTAGCGCCCAAAGAAGGCGGAATGCCCAAGGCAACTTTGTGGTGGATAGCTCTGCGGTGCAGATGGGGTTCCGTTTGAAAAGCCAGAACTTACTTCTCTCATTCAGATGGGAAAGCCTGTGGGACACACACTTGGTCGCTGCAAGCTTTCCCGAAAATGATAATTCTGTTGTTCCTCTCAGGAAACAAATGCTGAAGGAGCTTCGAAATTTGCATGGGCTATGCTCAGAGGTCATTGAGGAATGCCAGATAGGAAGGCTCTCGAAGTATGAGGTCGAAGCAAGACTGCGGCGAGCGCAGTTTTTCGCACTATACCGGTTGGAATCCAATGTGCAGAGTCAGCAGCAACAGGGAAGTAATACACAACCAAATCCCCCAATGGGAGGGAACTTTGACGAGAATGGTCGGCAAGAGGAGGAGAGAAGTCTGGATATCTGTGACGCTCTATGCATAAGGCTTCCAGGAACGGTAGGGCCGCTCAAAGCCCAGATTGATGAGGCGCGAAGGCTACTCAGAGGGATAGCATTCTACACCACAGTGTCTGCCGAAGAGAAGCGGTTGGTACATCTCGCGATGTCAGCAGAATTCAGTAGCACGGGTCGGTGGTATACTTGCGCAAATGGTCATCCAGTAAGTTAAATCTCAGATCAATTGGCCTAATAGAGTACTACTGATATTCGTACCATAGTTTACTATCGGGGATTGTGGAGCTCCAAATGAGTTGACGAGGTGCCCAGAATGTGGGTCACCGATCGGAGGTGATCACTATGGGCTCGCAGGTGGAGTCAATCGCGCCGCTGAATTTGTCGCCCTTGATCAGCGAATGGGCCGGACAAGAATCTAGGTTATTAAGAGGGACAAGATCAGTAGTAGCGGAGAGGTATTTTGGACTTGAACTTAGCATCTATTCTCCTTCGTTGACGTTGTTATTTTGTTGGTGGATACATATTAGGTCGATTGATTTTCCTACATTTGTTAAGTAACGCTTATGGAGGGAAAGAATGAGTAGGGGGAAAAATTGTTAACTACAAGTAATGCCAGGTTGACCAATTGTTGTACATTATTTGTTTGTAAGAATATATGTTTAGTACGCACGTCTTCTCAATGCGTTTCAAGGGTAACTGCGTGCAGTACAGCGAAGGCTTACTCCAACGGTATCGATATTAATTGGTAAGATGATCGCAGAAGTAGCACCTCGTTTCCTCTCTCTCTGCTCGAGCAAGACCTCTTCTACTTTTTTCCTGGTGTTCTCGTGCCGTGAAGAGATAGTTAATGACCCGAACAAGTTGTCGTTTGGTGAATAAGTAGGATTTGGCGCATGTAGCGTGCCGGCTACGCTGCGGTGCAAGCTTACATTACACTCTTATCCCTTAGACGGATGACACGGTCAAATTCGCAGCGTAGTCCGTGCACGCACCTCATTGGGTAACTTTCTTTCTTTTCAAATAACAATAGCCAGAAAGCTAATCAAATCCAGTGATAATTGCTAAACAAAGTTAATATTAACTCAAAGAGGCAAGCTGAGAATTTGACCGTGTCATCCGTCTAAGGGTCGATAGAAAAGTCGTGGAAATCGCAATTATACACATGATGGGGCCTCATGTATGAAGGAGTATTTACTGGTATTTCTACACCTTCTAGAATATTCCTTGGTTGGCACTGTGGTATCACCTGTAAAAAGCAATGGCTACATATAGGTGTATGCAGGATGCTCAGAACCAGCCTACGAATTCGATATTTCGATCCGCCCAAGGTTGCTGTTAGCTATCAAATACGGTTCTCATTAGCTAAAAGACACAGTCTGCGAGTTTCATCCACTATTCGGTTGGTAACAAACGTACGGGAAAGCGCTACTAGGTGTGTATGTACTTGGGGCAGCTCCAAAACGTACAATATTTACAAGTTTTGCCTCTGAAAATATTGACATTGCCGATCGTCGAGCGCTAGAACGCACATACTCATTGGAGGGTCAGACGCCTGGATTGTCCGGTTCCATTTACTAGTGAGTGATCGACACACTTGAACGGCGACTGCCTGAGTTTCCAACTCTGGCTGAAGTTGGCTTTCTGGTTGGCAACCGAGATTTCCTCGCACCTTTTGTACCATTAGTGCAATTATCAGCTGAAATCGTCATACTGCACCAATGGTGGTGTTTGGTTTTAGGCATCCATCATTTTCATCTGAACGATGGTTTCTGCACTTTATGTTTCACTTCGGAGAACCTTTGCTGTCGACGTGCATCGCAGACAACAAATACGATAGGTCGAGTACTTTGTACTCCGTGCTCCCAATATCACATCTTCCCCTCAATCTTGGATAAGATATATAATGTGCAATATATATATATATATATACCTCGTCTACTTCTCTCGACGAGCTTCAAAATACACTTCCTACCCCAGTACTGATAAACTAGAGTGATAAAACTGCCCCACTTCCACCGATTGCCTTAATTTACCATTCAGAATTAACTTCGTCATTCATCCACCCCAGGTGGTCCGGGACTATCAAACGTACCCCCACTCAGATATTTCTCCGGAAACGTGCGCCGGGATCTCGAACAGCGATGGATCATAGCGCTTCTACTCCCCACGAACCACTTGATGGCCCTACGGATTCCCTTATTAAACCCGGTTGGGACTCCCATGATTCCACACATACGGATTCCACGTCAGAGTCAGAACATGGTCACGACAAATCTCAATACCCTATAGCCCCATGGGATATCTGCTGGCATGACAAGCCAGCCACAGCCGTGTCCTTATTTCTGATAGGGCTGAGTTGTGCCATCGGCCAGCACGTATTCTACAGTATGAAGGATGGCACTCTGGCCACGCAGCAGGAGTGGACAATTCGAGTCGGGACAGGTCTCGCCTATCTCCTCGGATTTTCAATGGCTGCACTTGTTGGAATCTCACGGGATCAGTGGGTCTGGCGTACCCTCCGCACCCGATTCTTCCCCTTGGAAAGCATAGATGCGTTATTCGGGGTCACCTCCAATGTTTTCTGTTTCCTAGATATCACCATGGTTTGGAACGCCAAAGTCTCGACAATGCTGGCAGCTTTGAAATGGCTTTTCCCGCTGGTGACAATCTTCACCCCGAGTACCATCTCTGTCATCTTGACCCCGTTCGACACCGAATTCGACTGCCAGGTACCCGCTCTATCGTTCCCGGGGCCTCGTAACAGTACCGATCTCGGCAGCACTGTCACCACACAAGGCCACGACCTCACCTATAGCGGGGCCGACCATAGTGGTGATGATGGTGGTGAATATGGCGATAATGGTGATGCCAGCGGTATTCCTACTCTTCGCAATATGAGAAGGGCAAACGCATTCGCGAACCAAAGGTTGTACGTGGCGGATATCTACGACCCCGCCGCATACACGAACCAAAACGTCTCCATCAATAACTACGAAATAACGATTGATGCAGAAAGCAAGGATTGCTATGTGAACGCTGAGGTTCTTCGATATTTCATAATGTCGGCATACTCGAGTGAAGTAATCTTCCCTCCTGATATCACTCGCGATCACCTTATATCGGAGGAGTGCTCTGTCAACTGCACCTACTCTTACGATTTCGTTGGACCTTCAATCAACTGCACCGAGTTCGAATCCATTCCAAAATCGCTGTCCGACATATACCAAGGCATCAGCGACCAGAATATCATCTTGTTCGGCGCGGGGCAGGGGTCGGATCTGAACTCGACGGGCCTTGACTCGACCTACACGGCCGACGACAGGCTATACTCGCCCGAGCGTCTGTGGGCCTTTTATTCATCCGCAAATGATTCTTGTCTCCCGCGCGAGAGTCGTAGTCTGCATGCCTACACATGTGAGTTCGGGCCCGCACGGTACTGGATCAACCAGTCCATCTCCGACCGATTCTTGCAGCCCCACATAAAGGTTGACCCGATTGACAATTCCACCTTCAGCTTGGACGAAAGAGCCACATGTGTGCTCCTCCAGGCTCTCCGCGAAATCCTCGGGGGTTATTTGGTAATCACGTATGACCCACCCCTTTACAAGAAGACCGAGTCAAAGAACTATACGATCACAGTACCCATTGCTTCCAACCGCACGAATATCCGCTCAACAAACCTCATGGACAAGAGCGGGCTGAACGTGGTTGATCCCCTGGGCGATTCAATCGAGAAAATGGTCCACAAGATGGTTGTCTCGTTGATTGCGGATGACGGTCTCACCCTCGCCAAGAAAGTCAGCACAAGATGCCGCGCAACAAAGATGCAAAACACCTACGTCTATAAGCCATTCATTTTGATTCTGGTAAACACAACCGCTATGTTTTTCTCCGCGTTGGTAGCGGTGTTGGGAGCTTTGGCTCTTGTGCAGAACGGCGTGGCGAGCGACACTTCGTTCTCGACCTTCCTCCGAACGACAAGAAATCCAACACTGGACCGAGCGTTGAGGGGTGGGAGCTTGGGTGGTAGCTCTTTCCGGAAGAAATTTAGTGGTCTAAAGCTTAAATATGGGGAGCTTTCTGTGAAGGGCAAGGGGGTTTATGGCGATGGTGTTCGCCACGTGGGTATGGGCGTCGAAGGAGAGGTTAGCACCATGCAGAAGGGCAGGAATTACTATTGATTTTTTTTTTCCTACGTGGCCAAAGATTGTATGATGCAATGTGGTATGCGGCTTGGGGTGCACATGGTTATAGGTTGCCTTCCAGCGGGTTCTTCTGGTCATCCAATTTGTATCTCAATCGCAATTGATCAGTGTTGATGTGTATATCTATCCTATATATAGTTACTGTGTTTCGTGTTTTAACAAATTGAAGAACTCGTAAAGTTGGGGGGGGGGGGGGGGGGGGGTGTACATGTTTTTCTACGTTATAATATCTCAAGGACATGTAGCTATTTATCTTATCAAGTCACAGCATTAAGGTCTGGACAGAGAACACCAACCATAGGTCCTGTGACGTGTACATACGTACATAAGTACCTGGCGTGATTCTCTCAGAATTTCAGTGAATGTGAGGTATGTAGGTGGCTTGTCCGCGCGTGGCCATCAGGAAGTATTATCATTGAAGGTTTCACGTGATCTAACATCTCTGCATCAACTGAGGAGTTGGTTCAAGCTTTTTCGGTGTTCAAGTATCAAACCCTAACCCTATCACCATGGGTTCGCACAGAAGACCAACTCTCATGCGTTGGCAATTACAAAAGATGGACCCTACTATTGCAGGACGAGATAATACTATGCTCGTCTTGCATTGGGCCCGGCACCCATCACCAGCTTGCGTTTGAGTCAGGAAAGCGAATGTTTAGATTTATTAAGGCGCTATATCTTGCAGTTGGGTAGACTCGAGAAGGTTAATGGACCACACACCCGAAATCTTTAGCTCGAGGAGATTTCAAAACATACACCGGACTGTACTCTCTACTGATTTCCTAGGAGGTTAAGGCAGTGTAAGTCAGGGTTAGGGTTATCAATTGCAATCCCCCCCAAAAGATAGGAGAAATGACTCCAGGAACTAAAGACCTTTCACAACCAGGCAACAGACCCGAAAATGCACCCCCACATACTGGAGCTGATTATGTTCCGCTCCCTCGATGTAATTTGTCGTGAAGGGCATCGTAGTACTACCTGCTGGAACAGGGTTCCCGTCGGTAGAAAGCCCACTCCTCAGTCTTTCCTTTTCTTTATTCTTTTCGGGAACGCACTTGCCCACTTTGGGAGTTTTGTATTCATTTCGGGAATTCTTCCTCCCATTTGGGAAATTCCTTATTCTTTGCCTTGCCGCATAGATTCTCTTTCATGCAAGTTTTATTTATTTTGTTTTTCGGGTAATTCCACAAAAGGCTGCAAATATTTCCCTTTCTAGAACTCTTCTGAGAGAAGGGTTTCTAAACTGTAAAATAGAGAGTCAGAAAGGAAAATATACAATCATCATCCGGAAATAAATCAAAAAGTCGTCTTGACTTCTACCTTCCCTCGTCCTCTTTGACACTACGTGTAGCTGAGTATGATTCTGGAGACCATTTGCGAAGCGATTTGCCCGTAGCGCCTTACGTGGCTAGCCCAGAGCAACATATATAAGGGTTGGAAATACCGTAATCTCCTAGCTGATACGAGTATTTGATTTTTAACGAGAAAATGTGGCTGTTGGACCTGAGGAGATCTAAGCCTCTGTCCCATCGATCAGTCCCAAGGAGAGGTGCATGAGCATGAGGTTCTAGAGTTATGGCAACATATATATATCGATATCACAAGTAAAAGTATGGTTCTAGCTTGTAGCGGACCAGAGATTGAATCAACTGATCTCTGCAAAGGCATATATATTCTGACTACGGACGGCATGTCTTCGATCCATCCTGTTGGCATACAAAAACGCCCATATACTTGTAATTCACCCTCTACAAAAGTCCAGAAACACCGCCAGCATCGACTTGAGGCCCTCCCTCTCCGCAATCGTCAGGACATTCTCCCCGCGGCAATCCTTCGCATCGATATCGACCCCCTTCTGCAGCAACAGGTCCGCCGCCCCGAGCTCGGCCTCGCCCTCCACCCCCGCGCCCACCAGGACATGCAGCGCCGTCTCCTCCTCCCTGTTCCTCGCGTTGACATCGATCTTTGCGTCCAGCAGCAGCGGGACCACCGCCCACTCGCCCGCCCCCACCGCCACATGCAGCGCCGTCTCGTTGTCGACGTTCCTCGCGTTCCTGTCGACGCCGCACTCCAGCAGCATGGCCGCCACCTCCTTGTCGCCGCGCCTCACCGCCATGTGCAGCACCGTCTCGTTCCGCGCCCCGTCGCGCGCATCCACGTCCACCCGCCTCCCCAGCAACACCTCCACCACCTCCGCCGCGCCGCGCACCACCGCCCCCATCAGCGCCGTCCGCCCCTCCGCATCCCTCCGGTCCGCGTCCGCCCCCATCCCCAGCAGCCAGCCCACCATCGCCGCCGCCCCGCCAGCCGCCGCAGCAGCCACATGCAGCACCCCGCGCCCCTTCTCGTCGACACCGGCCATGTCCCCGCCCCGCTCGGCCAGCAGCTTCGCCGCCACAGCCTCGCCACTGCCGACCGCGAGCAGCAGCGGCGTCATCCCGCCGTGGCCCGCAGCGTCAACGCTCGCCCCGCGGTCAAGCAGCAGCCGTGTGATGCCGTCGCAGCCAGGCGTGCTGACCGCCCAGTGGAGGGGTGTGCGGCCGACCTTGTCGACGATGTTGATGTTTGCCCCGCGCTCGACGAGGGCGCGCGCGGCGCCCTCCTGCCCCGCGCCCGCGGCGCAGTGCAGCGGTGTCTGGCCGTAGCTGTCGGCGGCGTTGAGCGGTGCGCCCGCGTCGAGGAGGGCGGTGAGGAGGTCCTCGTAGCCGTAGACGGCGGCGCGGTGGAGCGGGGTGCAGAGGGAGGTTGTGGTTGTGGCTGCGAGGGGGGCGCCCGCGGCGATGGAGGAGAGGGCGAGGGGGAGGTCGTTGGTCTTTGAGGCGTGGAGGAGGAGGACCGCCGGGGTGCGGTGGGTGGCGAGGAGGGGGGCGAGGAAGTGGAGGCGTTTGGAGGCCAGGAGGAGGGAGAGGAGGGAGGGGGCGGGGAGGTAGGAGGCCACCGCCTGGATGAGGGGGGCGGGGAGCGAGAGGAGGGGGAAGGGCGGGTATGGGCGTAGCATCTTTGGGATTGATCGAAGGAAGCAGCTGGAACTGTGCTTGTCGAGGCAGCACGGTTGGATGTCGAGAGGTTGAAGCAGAAGAGGGCGAAGCAGAAGAGGGCGAAGCAGAAGAGGGGGCGAGGGGGGTTTACTTGTAGCCCTGTCACCCCTCTTATCTGCTGCAGACCAGACCTTCTCTTCACATGACAGCATGACAGGGAGAGAGGGATGACGTTTACCCACTGGCCCTCTTGCTTGTTCAGGCAGCCAGCGCACCACAATCAAATCAATCCTCGGAGGCGAGCAACAACAGCCTACGAACAGGCAGGCGCAGATCCCCGCCGGATCGAGATGCTGTGAGCGTTGACGATACCGTAACAGATGCTCGCTTAGGCACACGCGTCTTGGCGCGTGGGGGTGTCGATGATTGTGTGGCCGTGGGCGTCGTGGCAGCCGAGTGATGTTCCATGCCCTGGCTGTCACTGAGTACATCCATCTGAGATCTGAGACTACTACGCAACGTCGATGGGTTCAATGGCTTGGCCACATGCACTTCACACATGTATCTACGCTCGTGATTACGTGTACGATCGAGCTAGCTTCAGCTCTCAAGCCGCCACTAGCAACATTTTGATTGCAGCCTCGAGACACACGCCCAAACTACATGTACTCGCTCGAGGTTTCACAACTACTTGAAGATTAAACACAGTTCATTATTCCCAATTGCAATTGCAATCTGATGCTTTTCCTAGCCCCTCCCCACCTGCTGCTTGATGCTAGTAAACCTCTCCCTGCGGTCCGTTATGTCCAACGTGATGACCTTGAACGGCCTGTTGCGGCCCTCGTGCCCAGGAGCGTTCATCGGGGCGGAGATCTGCTCGATATGAGTAATCCCCCTCCTGCATTGAGGGCACCGACCGCTGGATGTATTGCTGGCTATTAGCATCTGTTTGGCACATTGATTGCAATAACGATGATTACACGGCCGCATTCTGGCATCACGTCGGTCGGTTAGCCACCCCGCACCATGTATGCATGTCGATCCTGTCTCGGATGCATCAAGGAGGAATATATAACGCACAAACAATCCCGAATTCTCGTTTTGCAGACGGTGCATATCTGCGCTACCGCAGGGTTGTATGCTGCACTCCCTCCCGCCTGCAGCGTCGCATCCATCTCCGACACCGTCTTGACCTTGCTGAAGTCTCCGCCGACCGTGGAGGGCTGCTCGCGGTAGAGCTCAAAGAAGGGCAGCCCCATCGACGCATACGTCTCTGGGCCGATTGGTGTTTTGGGCGCTGCCATCCCCGTGATCCCTTCAAAGGCGACAGAGTTGACGACCTGCACGTTGAGAAGTTTGACGTTTTCGGTGTTCCATGACTCGGGATGCCAGTAGTCGGGATGGATGTCTTGCTTGACCGTGCCGCCGACGGCTATGGCCATTTGCCTATTCTCGGGCGAGACGAGCGAACACCCCCCCCTCATATGCTTCCCTACAATGAGCACATCTCCATTGACTACGCCAGAGCTACCGAGGGTTTGTTCATTCTGAAGCCACTGGTTCCCAAACGTCACGTACACCGTTTCTAGATCGGTGGTGAAAATTCCCATTTCGCCTTGACTTGCAACAACCGTTAGCGCATGACCACATTGTTCGGTGAACGGAAAATTAAAATGGAAACCGCACAAATCCTTTCCTTCAGTGACATGACCGTCTCTGATTCCGCAACCTTGCATGAGAAGGGAGGATAGCAATTGTAGGTTTCGATCTCAAGGGTGAGTTGGCGGGCCCAGTCGAGCGGAATGTCGCTTCTGGCACCGGCACCGGCACCGAAGCCTTCGCTCGACGCTTGCATGAGGCGATACATGTCCTTCCATGTTTTGACCTCCTTACCGCCAATGCAGAAGCATCGGCCGGCCCTTGGCAGGCCGGCCCTCCTTTCCATCTCTATGCCAATGCTTTCGAATGGTTTCGTGGAGTCGCCCTTGAAGGGATTAGTCCTTTGCAATACATACACCACACGGCATGATTCTAATTATATAAGGGTTGCCGCGTGGGCACGTATCATACTCACATGGACGGAATAGCTCGACTCCTTCCCCAAAATCCGAACTCTGAGATTTGTGTTGATCATCTTACACAGGTCCAACTCCAGCAGAGCACCCGAGTCGCTCAGCAGGTCCTTCACCGTCCGAACTCTCATCTTCGTCTCCTTGATCCTCTTGCAGTAGATCATCTCTCCCGGCTGCAGCCCCAAACGCTTTGCCGTCACCATGGCATCCAGCGACTTCTTTGCCACCATCTCCTCAAAGAACTGATCCCTGCTGAGAAAATACTCCTCCTTATCATATGCCGGAATCACCTCAAACTGCATCCCCCCCACGCTCTCCTCGCCCGTAACCTGCTTCTCAACAGAGTATCCCGACCCGAACGGCATCGCAACAAACTGCTTCACCAGCCCAGGACTGACTGCCACGCCGTCGAGCCATGGCTGGCTCGGAACCACGATGTAGTCCTGCTTTCTGGTAGCTTTGTTTGCCCGCTTGAGATAGGTTGCCATGTTGGGTATCATGGGCTCCCCGGAGATCCCGTTGACGCCGCCAAGGTATATCTTGATCGCGAACTGTCTCTTTGCATGGAAGGACATCCACATCGCCTCTCTCTCTATACTACGTTAGTACGTAAAGCTACGCACAAAAAGCCGAGAGGCCGGGGGGGATACCCACGGTACATCGGGATGAAAACGCCGCCTTTCTCTCTCATATCCGCCGGCAGCTTCTTCTCATAATCCGCAATGTTAAAGATCGGGAATTTCCCCAGACCCGGCGGAAGCGGGTGTTCTCTCCCGTCGTCGGGCACCCTGATTGTCCTGTTGAACGAGATCTCGAGGTTGCCGTTATCGAACGATAGACATTCGTTGGTGCCCTTGATGCTGCATTCCACCTCTTTCTCGAAGCCTCTGTTCAGGCCGGTAATCAGCTTCTCGTCTTCGTAGACTCTCAGCCCGGCGAGCGGGGTGTCGTAGTATGATTCCTTGTGCGGCGTGACGGTGAAGGCGAGGGGGGGTATCTCGTAGCACATGTGGCTGATTATCGAGCTCTGGTTATGGAGCACTACAGTATCGCAAGCTGCGAAGCCTGATCATTTGATTGTGAGGTTCGTTAGGAATTAACGCTCAGGATGGAAATCGTTATTATATACGCATACTAGATGTAGCAACTTACCGAGCTTTCCCGTGCAGTGAGCGACGATCTGCTCGGTGGGCATGTCGAGCGGAAGCTCCACATCCACACTCGTCTTCCCAAAGTTCCTCTTGTCGCCATAGATGCGGACCTTTACATTTCTGGCCGGCGCAGCCGATCCTGCTAGTTTCTGTGAGCGGCGCATTTTCTAGGCTCGCTGTCCACGGTGGATTGATGATGATCTGAGAGGTGGTTTGGAATTGAGAGCTCTGGGTGCCTTAATATTGAGGATTGCGGGGTTTGGTCTGCCTGAATTATGCATGAGTGCTGCTCTGTCGGCCGTATTAGATGGCGGTGCTTGCTGAATAAGGAACAAATATTAAAAACGGGTATCTACAAAGAGCAGCCAACATTATACATCGTGCGCAGTTTTATCAGATCCTTGTCCGCATCAAGAGTCGATCGGCGATAACTACGGCGGCTCATAACTAACAAAGTGCAATTAAGGATTTCGGTGGCAACGAGACAACGAAAACCTAACAACCCGCCCACACAAAAAAAAAAAAAAAAACTCTGCCGGTGATTCAATTGTAGACATATTAAATATCTTTAAATACAAATAAAAAATTATTACTCCCAATCTGAATCTTCCTCTTGACTTAGTTCATTATCGGTTATGTCCGGTAAATTTTCATTAGGGAATTCTGCAACCAAGTGTGCTGCACCCCGTCCCCTAATAGAAGATACCTCCCGGGGCTTTAACAACAATGAGAGTACGGGATTTTGATTTCCCTTCTGAATGTGTCTTCCTAGATAGGCTTTAAGGAAGGTATAAATAACAAAATGAGTGTTTTTACCATCAGGCATGGTGTCCTCATACTGTACCCCATTGGCAGGTAGATTTCCTTTTGAAAGCATACGGGTGCAGTGGTCCATTGTTGAATTGGGGAGATAGGAATCATGATCTTATGTGTTTCCGTCAGTAAAAGTTAGGCAAACAAAAAATTTTAAGTATCAAGAAACATACATACCGTAGTACTCATTTGTGTAGCTATTTTTTAATTTCTTATCTCTAATATTTTCAATCGTATTTAGAGAAGGTATTTGCTCATAATTGTTGACACCATCAGGTGGAAAATAGTAGTTGTAGTAGAGTTCTCCGGTGGGAAGATTGGGTCTGTTACTTTGTTTCCGTATCTTATGATTATTCCAGTTTTCAACAAACTATAACGGGGACTATGGGCGTAGGAACTATAAAGCCAAGGAATACAACCGAGGCGAAGATTTGGACGTAGGAGGTTCGTGGACTATGGACTATGGGGCCGAAGGGTACACCTAAGGCAAGAACGGAGACTGTGGACTATGGACTATGGATGGTTATACCTGGTCTAGTATACCGGGTAAACCCTATGACGTAGCGCGAACCAAATAGTATTCATGACTGTAAAGTACAGAGGTTGCATAAAGAAAAAAGAGAAAGAAAGAGAAACAGGAAATCACGAGACAACACCCCCCTTATATATCCATACCCTATCCCAATGCTGACTCATACCCTCACATAACAGAAACAGAAAGAACATAATAGAAACCCGCTTCACTAAACCCAACCACACTGCATAATCCTTCTCCCTTATACCCAGACAACTCACATAGCCAACCCGCCTAGCTGCCGTTACACAAACTGATGTAGCTTGGCCCGTATGATAGGCATATAGCTGTAAAGAATAGCTATCATATCCTCCAATTTGTCTTCTTGAAATAGGTTTCCCTGTTGAAGTGTACGGAAATATTTCTTTTTAATACCGATTAGTTATGTTTCTATATGTAATAGAATTGATTCACTTTACCTTCTAATCGGCTGTTGCCCCCTTTGTAATCTGTCCCCACCAACTTTCTATACGGACATTTCTTGTTGATGTTCCATACCAAAATACCTCCGGGAATGTAATATCTGGGTTATGATCTTTGTGTAACTCCCAGAAAGATTCTGCCAGTAACATTGTTTCCGTCCCTCTGTCTGCTCTGATATGCAATGGCAAACAATTCTGTGTCTGCATAATCTCGAAGAACTGACTTAATACACTGACCCCCGTCTTGCCAGAAACTCAACAGTAGAACCAGGTTACATAACGGGAATATGCATCTATAGCAGCATAAATTTCAATGCCAAACATTCGCAGTTTGAGATGCCCATCAATAGACCAGCACCAATTAGGTCCCGGACAGATGAAATATGCATGATGTCTATTGACTCCCTTTAGTCTGTTTTCCACCCCGATTGTATCAACAATCTTTAGAGCTTGTCCTATCCGATGACTTTCAAAATCAGTTTAGTTTAGTTTGATAAAGGAATATCACACTGGCAAAGTCTTACTGTGAGGCCAAAACACCCATATTCCGTAGATGCATCCAGACTGATCTCCGGCCGGCTAAAGTAATATTCCCCCTCTCTAATTCTTGCTCAATTATTTCTTGCAATTTTTGATCTGTGTCATCATTTATTTCAGCTTGCGTTAACCTTCTATACATCTTCATAGATTTCCGTATGATACATAATCTCTTGAATTCTATTTGATAACCATCAATTTTTAAAATCTGGTTTTAAATCAGTATGCAAAAGATATTATTTTAAACTGTTGAGATTGCAATACATACCGGTAGAATTCTTTTATCACTCAGACACTTAATCCAAAATAGGTAGGCAATTTCAACCCGCATAGAAGGTGTGTCCTGGCTATGGGTGTATTTTTTAAAATTTCATTCTCCAAGCTTGGTCATAAGAGACCTGCGGGAGGATTTAATACCCATTTCAGTCAAGAATGACAATACCTGATTAATTGTCTGATCTTGTTCAAAATAAAGCCGTTGGATCAAATCTTGATTTGCTGATAGTGCAGTCGCAACTGGTGATTGACGAAAAGTTGACATTTCGCGTGATAGATGATGACGGTGTGTATTTTAATAAAAATTATATGAAATTGATGGCAATCAGAATTGACAGTTTCGGAACAGTCAAATACATTGGAAATGGTAAAAATATGTCTTATATATACATAAATATGAAATTCTTTGAAATTCTATTGTGTTCTGTATTCACAGGGATATATTTTAGAAGCCGAACATAACCGACAAACCCCACCTTGTATCCCGTAATTATTTTCAATAATAAATGAAATATCTTCTGATTTTATATCAATTTTAATCTCATCAATCATTCTACGATGTCGGCAGTTGAATATTGTTCAGAAAGAGAAAAGACTATCCATCTGCAGACCACCGACAAAGTTTTCCGTTGTTGTCGAGAACGGGTACCACCACATTTACTTCTACCAGTCTCCCGTAATTCAACAAAAGTAAAAAGGGAACCAATAAAAACCACAGCCGGTGGTTCAGCATCTGCACCATCAACAGAAACCATGCCAAATAGAAGGGATAAAGGGAAGGGTAAAGCCTCACAAAATATTGAAACAATTCTTCTTCTTTCCAGCCCGACAAACTTACCAGAGAGGATTGTCAAAACAGGTCAGTAAACAGCCCGTCAGATTGTGGAACTTTACGGTCAAGGCTCAATTAGTAAAACTTCTACATAATCGAAAAAACAGAACTCAAAATTTGGTTTAGTGCCTGCCCTCACATCACCAGCCCCCGCTAGCAGACAAAGTACTCTCAAAATTACAGCTAGAGATTCCCGCAAGTTAGTGATATACGTTGGCTCTTTAAATGATAAATGGAGTTCATACAAGAATATAGGTAAAACAATTAAGTGTTGGAATGTCTTATTTGATTTATTTTAACCAGTTATATAGGTATATTATCAAAGATATTTGAGGACTTAGAAGAGCTCATTATCGATGACTCTGATTTTGCTTTCTGTCTCTTGAGCTCCTCTCCTAATTGGCAGGATGCTATCACCGCAGAGTCATTAGATATACATCAAGTCCTTGTGGCAACACATTTCCACCCTAAAGATGGACCCCATAGGTTGGAGGTCAGGAGCAAGCCAATAACCGTTAGAGATTTTCTGATGAATTTTCCTGGAGGGCCGTTTACAAAAATTGTTTTCTTAGTTAAATACCAAACAGAAGAACAACGGGCAATCAGGATCAAAAAAGAGGAGGAGGAAACACAAGAGTTTCTCACTGCTATATGGGCAAGAAGAAACAGGTTTGATTCACCGGCGGTTATCAAAAAGAAGCTTTCTATGAGAGTAGGAGAACAGGTATGTTATTTAATTCTATAGAATGGCAGCCGGTTCATATTAATTATCCTATAGGCACCTTCCTCAGAAGACCAACATTTTACCAGTGATTCCCCGTTGCCCTCTACTCCTACATTAAAAAGGGATTCAACGGCTTTGACTCCTGATCTACCTGAGGAGTCAAATTATTTACTTAGCTCTCGCCATTTAGAGTCCTCTCCGTCACCAGTTGGTAAAGATATTCCTTCAATACAACTTGAAGGGAATGCTATACAAGAGACCAGAAAATCTAATCGGCAACCAAAGAAGAGGAGGAGATTATATGAGGATAGTGATTAAACATTTTTGTCAATAGTTAAAACAATCATTTTATTTCTCTAACTACTAATTGTTATTCTAATCTAAACAACTTCGGGAAATCTTTTAAGATATTCCTTTTTGATGGCTTCATACATTGTTGAGACCAGACAATGTCTAAAACCGTACCAGTTAGTAGTAAAGTGTTCCAACTTTGTTCCCCTGATAAAACCAATTCCACCAAGCCTACAAACAAACTTCCTATTCATTTCCCTGATACAGAAACAGCTCCCGTGAACTCACCCATTGGTGCCATTACCGCCCATCCATCTTTTAAATCACCAATATCATAATGAGGTTCAGTAAACAGATTAATCAAACATGATCTCAATGAGAAACATTCCTGATCATCTATTACCCACTGTTATTTCTCCTCCTTTGGCAAGGCCGTAATCATTTTGACCCAAAGATCTCTGTTATCTTGGTCAACGGCACCAAGCAAAATTCTTTTGGCTCTGGTAAGATTGCCTAGTGAGGTAAAAAGGCGGGGGAGAACGAGATTCATGTGTTGAGATGTTTTGAGAGTATCTTTGGTGATGACAGCATCATCATTATAACCTCTTTCCATCCACATACCCCAATGGTAAACACCAGCCCATGACCAATCAGCCCAACAAAGATGAGGATTGGCAAGAAGCCAATTCTTGTACTCAGCATGCCTAATATCTTTAACACTGGGAATATCAGGTGGTTGGAGTTCAGCATACTCCTCAATGTTGTAAGTTGTAGACTTCAGAACCCAGTTCCCAATTTCAACCCCGTAGACCATCTCAAAACCCTTGCTGAAGTAGACAAACATGCGGGTGTAATTTTTATCAATGGCAAGATAAAAGGCACCGGAAACTGCAGGAACTTCAACTTGCTCATAAGTAAGAGCAGCCTTATTGATCTCCTTCAAACCCTTGTTAACATCTCAAGGGGGTGAGTAGCGAGTATTCCGCAGGGTACGAAGAGGATAATAGGAGACGGTATGGGAACTCGCAATAGGGGTATTACGGGACTCGAGCATTGGTAAGGTTCGACGGAGCACGAAGAAAGCGAGGCGGTGGTCTTCTTAAAGAAAGAAGAGAACAGTGATATTGTATAGCAATAGACAGCGTAGATACAGAAGACGTTGCGTAAAGAAAGAAGAAGAAGAAAAGGAACACAAAATACAAACAAAACCCCCCTTAATATACTCAAGGAAATCTCAGCGATGACAAATCCAACATGACTCATACATTAACAATCAACAGAACCCGGTAGAACCCAACAGAACCTTTCTGACTAATCCGACTCTTCATAACCCCGTACCTCCACTAGTCGATCCATGAAATAACAAGAGTGCCAACTTTATTCAAAGATTGAGAGATATCAATGTCAAAGAATACCTCAATGACACTCCCAATCTTGCCCTTGAAAATCTTAAAAGACTTGGCCCCTTTGGCTTTGGCCTCCTCACAAGTAGTCTTCATACACTCAGAGAGACACATCCACTTGTTGATATCTCTTTCCAACTCCCGATCTCTATGTGATTTTTTGGGTTCAGCAGATTGACCGGCAGCTTGACCGGCAGCTTGCCTGTCAAGGAATGGTGTGAACTGTTTGGTGATGATATCAGCCAGCCGGTGGCTTTTGACACAGTCAGCCTTCTTTTGCCCTTGAAGGTAGGGAGGAGACTTGAGGGCGCCGGCTTTGGTGTGCATCAGGGCGGGATTGGTGAACTTAGGCATTGCTGTAGTCAAATTAGCACCGGCAGCAGTCTTGCAATGCAATAAAAACTCACAAGTGGTCAGGAACAGGTGCTGGTGGGGACAGGTACTGGAGTTGGCGGCAACGGACTTCCTCACCAGAGGTTAAGTGAAGCCGGTGTGCAATAAACTTCCCTACCAGAGGTTAGGTGAAGTGGTCGTGTACGGGTTCTGGTGAAGGGCGGAGTGCTGGTGGAAGGGCAGGGTGCTGGTGAAGGGCGGGGTGCTGGTGGAAGGGCGGGATGCTGGTGGAAGGGCGGAGTGCTGGTGGAGGGGCCTGGTATCAGCAGCGGACTTCCTTACCAGAGGTAAAGTGAAGCCGTGCAATAAACTTCCCTACCAGAGGTTAGGTGAAGTGGGCGGTGGTGTTCGTGGGCTGTGGTGTTCCTGGTTGGTTGGTGGTTGGTGGTCGTTCGTGGTTGGTTGGTGGTTGGTGGTCGTTCGTGGAGTGTCGCGCTGGTTGCCAAAACCCCGAATTCGCTAATTGCACTTTGGTAGTTATGAGCCGCCGTAGATAACCAACGGAGACAGCGAGGGTTAGGGTTGCAGCGATATATCGTAGTCGCTTAATTCTCGCGGGCTGTGATTTAAGCTCAGCCTTGCCAGCGCCTAACACTTCATCATATGGAGTGTGGAGGCTCCCCGCTCTACCTTCCAGAATCCCTTCAATATCAACCCGGCGCCTATTTACCCCACATGCACAGTAACAATGGAAGTTGGCGCATCTATAGTCGGTTTACTCTCGGCAGGGGCGAGCATCGCCATCGCGATAAACGATTTCGTAACTAGCTGCAATAATGCACCACTTTTTGCGCAGTCGATTCTTCACGAAACGCTCGAATTTGGCTACGCCCTTGAGAAATTGCAACGTTTAGTCGTAGGACCACAAGCTAACGCGCTCCACCAGTCAAGGACATCAATGATTGATGTCAACCATCTTTCATTGACACTGGTTGGATGTGTTTGCACGTTTTCAAAACTTGAGAAGGAGATTCAGCGCATGAAGCTTAGCGGTAAATTTGGCATCTTGGATCGTGTGAAATGGTCCTTCATAGAGCGAGATGTTGGCTTGATCATCCAACGCATCCAGAACCACAAAATGTCCTTGATGCTGATTCTCACTATCCTGAAGTATGTGTTCAAGTTTATTTTCTACATCTTCCTTGTGCGCTGAGTGATTTTAAAAAGCGCCCGACTGATTTTGTTAATTTTTCACGTTCTGCAGCGGATCGGCCACCGAAGTAGCCAGCAGTCGAGAGAGTCTTGATACGCATCTGTCCAGAACAATGTCCGATGCTCCAGGTTCCATGCTTATTGATGATGACTCAAGCTCAGTCACGAGCAACTCCAGCCTTTCCCGGAAGTTATACCGCCATGCTTTCGAGTCCACACTGTTTGTTAGTCGTCCGTATGTTAGAGGGAGGAGATTCGACGATGCTCAATCGGCGCTCTCTATTGCAACGTCACAGCGGCCAAAGGGGTGGTGGTCTTTATATACCGCAAAGTCCAACGATTCAGTGTTTTCTTTACCAGTATCCGTCACAGCAATCTCGGGCACGAGCCTTGCTGATATACCATCTATTTGTAACTTATCATTGCGGGTGCCCCCTGATGCCCTATTGAACTCTCGTCGGGACCCCTTCAAGCCCAGAGACCCCGGAGACCCTTCCTCTCCCCGTCCCAGTGGCTCCACCGATCACGATAGACTGACTCCGAGGAATGATACTTACCACTTAATTTCATTCCGCCCTTTTCTGCTTAAAGCTGCTAGCAAAGGGCTTGATACAACAGTGACAATGCTTCTAGACAACACAGCAGATATGACTATTGAAAAAACGCAGCGTCACCTGGATGATGCGCTACACGAGGCGGTGGTGAATGGGTGCGCACAAGTCATACGTGTGCTGCTGGAGCGAGGGGCACATTGGTCATCGAGAGTAATCGGTCATTTTACGGGATCATCGCTGCTGAGTGCGCTTAAACACGGGCAGAATGAAAAGACTGAGCTCTTACTAGAAAGGGGTGCCAGTCCGGCGATTGAAGCACGGGATTCAAGTGGATCTACGGCTCTGGATGTAGCGATTAAAGATGCGAGAAGTGATGTGATAGGGTTCCTATCAAATAGAGATTCGGCTGCTAAAGGAGTTGATGGAGATGGATATGCACCACTACATCTGGCTGTGCGCTATATACATAGCGAAAGCATCGTGGAGCTCCTTCTGGACCGAAACGCAGCGATTGAGGCAAGAACCACAGGTGGATATACACCCCTACATCTGGCGGTGAAATATGGCATGGTCGGGGACACCGTAAAGTTCCTGCTAGCCCGAGGGGCGGATATCGAGGCAGAAACCGGTATACATGATAGAGCTCTACATCTGGCGGTGGCGTCTAAGAATGCTGAAATTACGGAGCTCCTACTGGACCAAGGCGCGGCGATTGAGGCAAGAGATAAAGAGGGATGCACACCCCTACATCTGGCGGTGAAACATGGTAGGAAGGATACCGTAAAGCTCCTGCTAGACCGAGGGGCGGATATCGAGGCAGAAACCGATACACATGATAGAGCTCTACATCTGGCGGTGGCGCCTAAGAATATTGACATTACGGAGCTCCTACTAGACCAAGGCGCGGCGATTGAGGCAAGAAACAATAATGGACACACACCCCTACAGCTGGCGGTGATATCTAGCGACAGGAGGGCTATAAGGATCCTGCTAGACCGAGGGGCGGATATCGAGGCAGAAACCAATACACATGATAGATCTCTACATCTAGCGGCGGATAAGTTTGAGATTACGGAGCTCCTACTAGACCAAGGCGCGGCGATTGAGGCAAGAAACAATAATGGACACACACCCCTACATCTGGCGGTGAAACGTGGTAGGAAGGATACCGTAAAGCTCCTGCTAGCCCGAGGGGCTGATATCGAGGCAGAAACCGATACACATGATAGAGCTCTACATCTGGCGGTGGCGCCTAAGAATATTGACATTACGGAGCTCCTACTAGACCAAGGCGCGGCGATTGAGGCAAGAAACAATAATGGACACACAACCCTACATCTGGCGGTGATATATAGCAACAGGAGGGCTATAAGGCTCCTGCTAGACCGAGGGGCGGATATCGAGGCAGAAACCGATACATATATTAGATCTCTACATCTAGCGGCGGCGTCTAAAATTACGGAGCTCCTACTGGACCAAGGCGCGGCGATTGAGGCAAGAAATAAAGAGGGATGCACACCCCTACATCTGGCGGTGAAACGTGGTAGGAAGGATACCGTAAAGCTCCTGCTAGCCCGAGGGGCGGATATCGAGGCAGAAACCGATACACATGATAGAGCTCTACATCTGGCGGTGATATATAGCAACCTAGACCGAGGGGCGGATATCGAGGCAGAAACCGTTACATATATTAGATCTCTACATCCAGCGGCGGCGTCTAAAATTACGGAGCTCCTACTGGACCAAGGCGCGGCGATTGAGGCAAGAAATAAAGAGGGATGCACACCCCTACATCTGGCGGTGAAACATGGTAGGAAGGATACCGTAAAGCTCCTGCTAGACCGAGGGGCGGATATCGAGGCAGAAACCGATACACATGATAGAGCTCTACATCTGGCGGTGGCGTCCAAGAATATTGACATTACGGAGCTCCTCCTGGACCAAGGTGCGGCGATTGAGGTGACAAACGAAGATGGATATACGCCTCTGCATACTGCTGTGTTAAATGGAAAGACGGATATCGTAGGTCGCCTGCTAGATCAAGGTGCGGACATCGAAGCAAGATCCCCGACCGGACGAACACCGTTACATTTCGCCGTCAGCTTTAATAAAGAGGGAATTATCAAGCTTCTACTTCGTCGTGGAGCAGATGTAAGGGCGAAGGATAACGCTGAGGATACCCCCTTAGATCTGGCAACGTCCACGACTGGGAACAATGATATTATGCGGCTCCTCTTGCGCTCGGAACCAGCTACAAGTGCCGGTACATCATCAGCTCGCTCAAATGTAGCCTGAGGTATATATATATACGACTAGCGGCTGCCCAGCTTATGACTGCGAGTTGCCGAACAACAATTTGGCCCCTAAATTAATTCAATCCTACCAGGACCCTCCGCCCAGCTATAACTTTCGCCAAAGAAATGATATATTGTTCGGATTTAGTTATTTCTTTTGTATGTTCTGATACTTACATGTTTTTTCGTGTTCTCTACCTCCCTTTCAGTTCAAGTTAAGCATAATAATTCTGTTTATCTTGAGCTAATCGCGGGAGGCTTATTATCTTTCTGGTCTCTGATCATTTTCTTGCTCAAGTGTGGAATCAGCTTTGGCGGCTACGGGTAAAGCAACTGAAAACCCTTCGTATATTCATTACCGCCTATCTGTTTCTAGAAACTAGCAATCATATCTAGCTTTCCCCTCTGTGCCCCGACCGCTGATTTCAGATCATTAGGGACTATCCCGCTGTTTGTGGCTACAATTTTCTTTCAAGCTGGTTTCCTCGCTGTGTTTGGTCAGCTTTGGGGCGTTGGTTTGTTATGTTTTAACTGGCGTTTATTCATTTTCTATAATATATGAAGTTTCCTTTTCCTCCTCCTCATTACCAAATATCCTCCAGCACTATTTATGCGATTTCCTTTTTTCCAAGCAAGAAGGACCGGGTTGAGCCCGGAGGGGAGAGTGTAAAAACTGCTAAGGTATCCAATAAGTCTCCTCTGGATGCTGTTGTATCTGTACGTGTGATTTTACTAGCATTCTCGTCCGATTATAGCAAATGTTGTTTCTCATCTACTCATCTATATATATGCATTTTGTATATCATCCGTTTATATATATATATATAATCAGAGTTGAAAACCATTGGGTTTCAGTGAATTATCACTGGTCCTTATGGTTACTAAGTGGCTAAAAAGGACACCGTGTAACATGTGATGTCGAAGGCTTTCGGCACGTTTTCTTAATCACAACTCATCACTCGTCACTCATCAAGACCGCCTCCACCCTCTTTTTTTTTTTTTTTTTTTGTTTAATTCATTAATTCGCCTCTACCCTCTCATTGACGTAAAGTTCCGCACCCTCATTACTACATATAATTTTTGAACCTTGCCTTTTTCTCCAATTACAAAGTGGAGTCTTAGCCCCATATTGTGCATACTGCACAAGTGTCTAATCTTTTGAGATTCCAGGAAACCTCAGTTCATGAGTTTGCGGTTGTCGGCGGTGGGGTTGATCATGAACTGTCGAACTGGCGGAGGGCCCGTTTGGCTGGTATATATGTCGGTATCGAAGCTCCATCTATTAGCGGCTCCGTTAGACAAGATAACCAGCTACTTGCTAATGGAGTTTGGGTCTCTCTACCACCGGAGAGAAATGAATCCGTAGATTGTGTTAGCACAATGCATCGGTAATGTGCTGATCATGGAATTGTGTAGGGTAATGTGTTCCATTATATATTGTATATGGTAATGTATCTGGTAATGCATCGGCAATGGGAGGGCAATGAATCGGCAACGGGAGGGCAATGCATCGGCAATAGGAGGTCAATGAATCTGGTAATGCACCTGGTAATGAATCGGCAATGCTTCTGATAATGCATCTGGTAATGCTTCTGGTAATGAATCGGCAATGCTTCTGGTAATGAATTGGAAATGTGTCAAATGAATCGACTTTCTCAAAAAAATATGATTTGACTTAAAAAGGATCTGAACCTGTGAACTCCTAATCCTTAGCAGACACTCCACCATATCAGCCATATAACATTTGTTATACCTTTGACCTTTAAGAGTGCTATATATCCAGCAAATATGGAGAGAAATGCATCATGGAAATGCATCATGAAAGGCATCATAAAAGCATCCGGAAAATAATCCAAAAAAGATATCAGAAAAGGCATCAGAAAAGGCATCAGGAATGGTGTCCCAACAGTAAATGCATCACCGGTCAATGTAAATGCATCAGCTGAGTCATTTACTAAAATCCTCGACAATAAATGTGTCACTGGTCAAAGTAAATGCATCAGCTGATTCATTTACCAAAAGCCTCGACAGTAAATGAATCCATGGATCGATTTCCTCCACTGTAGGATTTCAGAAATGCATCATTTGATGCATCAACTCCCGTAGTAGAGTCTGTTAGGCTGCTAAACACGAGTTAAAACTTTAGGACCTGAAAGTATTTAGGTACCTACATGCCCCCTTCTTTTCAAAAACTCTGTTTCAACGCTCTAACCGTGTTATAAATTACTTGACCAAACACAAAACTCTTTCTGGCAAAACCGAATTTCGAAGAAAGTGAAATGGAGATGTGTGGTCGTCATACAAATCTGCCTCCATTTCGACTTGCAGCCAAACGGACCCTTAGGCTTGTTTCTTGAGGGCTTGACTAAGTAGTAGGGTGTAGCGAAAAGTGATCAGAATCTGATAAGACAAATACAAGTATTCACCGCAACATTCACTTATGAGATTCTGATCACTTACCCTCAACGCCTGGTACATGTAGTTTACGCCAAGGCTTGAGTCTTACTGGCCAATCAGGAGAGGGCTGGGCATGAGCTAGGCAGATGCTAATCGACTGAGTTACGTTTCAGGAGAATTCCAAACAAGACTATTACAAGGAAAACGATCAGAACACCAGCGAGGAAAACAAGAATAGATCATCTTTATTTGGTACCGCATTCAACAAACATTTTGAGGCGTTAGAGCTACATGTACTTCTGAATGTTTGAGTACTATTGCTGGTTTTCGTAAACAGGCTAATTTCAGTTGGGAGCGCGAGAAAATAAAAATGATGTGTTTCTACATGAAGTCCAAACTACTTGTGCGTGATCCCGTTTCAATCCACGAAGGGCGCGTTTGGCTGCCGGTCGAAAAGGAGTTATAAGAGGCAGATTTGTATTGCAATCACATAACCTCATTTCATTCTTCCTCTCCATTTCGCTATTGTAGCTATAGCGAAATTGCAACCTCAAAGCCCAACAAAAAACAACTAATCTTAGCTGGGGTTTAGCAGCCAAACAGATATATCCAACCTCCGGTTCCAAGAATCTCTGCCCTAAAGTATAGTGCGATTAACGACATTAACAATATTATACCCCCTAGTGTGAATTATGGTTGAAATAAACCAATAAGAACACATGCTTACACCCTTTAGCGGTTAGATGGTTTGAACTATCTTATCCGTAACATAGTGTACTTTATAACCTGAATTATCTCCTTATTTTATTCTAGCCCGTTACACAAGTTAATTCAGTTATGCCTGCTCCGATTCGTTACTATGGAAACATACACAAATCTTAATTAGAAATTCGTAGCAAAGCTCTTCTAATTTCCTACGGCCTTCCCAAGGCCTTTGGTAGGGATATTAGCTAACTTCTTGCTAGTGTCGAATCCAATTTGTTGCTTTGGATTATCCACCAGCTGTTAAACCTCTGAGCACTTTGCAAATTTGACATGAATAGTATTTACTATTTAGTTTGTCAGACTTTTATGTGAAAGGAATGCCCTCACAGAGAAGGTCATGTATTTCCTTACATGGTCTTTCATACTCATTCGATGTATCCTTTGAATTAGAATGTTGATTGGGAGGCTGTCCCGTAGATCTGTATATATACTCTTTAAAACCCCTCTGTATTGGCTTGCTTTGTTAGGCAGTGTATCCCTGTATCCCTTACCTTTACTGAACCCATTAAATATACTTCACAGGAATAAGCTTGATTAGACTAGGGCAATCTTTTATTCAGACGGGCTGGCTAAGTGTCAGTCTTTCTCTGGAAGGCCATTTGGATGTTCGACAAAATGAGAAATAAACATAAAGTGACAAAATCGAATCTCTGTGAATTCTTCACAAACTTTAAAACAAGATCACCAAATTCAGATACACTTTGTCTAAAGTATACGTCTAACAGGATTGCCTTCCTTAGGGGCCTCTTGCCGGTACTTACGGGGCTTACGGCGCCGCCTAATGACTAGTATTTCCCGTAGCAGGAACTTCAATGGCCCTCTTTTTGCCATATCGCGAGGAAAAAACAACTCATTCTCTATGGTATAATCTCTCAGGGCTTGCAAATCCAGGAAAAAGGTGAAGGGCTTTCCTGTTCGCATATAGTGAAGCAAGTCGTAAATATTGACGTTCAGCGGTGCTAGTCTCTTTAGGGGTCAAGATTTCAGAGGTCAATACTCCATCGATCGAATATGTCAGAGGGCCTTCATTACTCACCCTTCGACACAACAACATGCTTCCCGGGATGGGGTCAACTCCCAACAAGAGACAGAGATTCTGCCATGTTCCAACATCTTCATCGTCGGCGCCAAACGTTATTTCAAACTCGTCTCTAAATGCAAGAAAAAACTCGGTCTGTGCTGCTTCGCATTCGATTCTGAGCTCAGGAGTGTTTTTCTCCTCAATACCGTAACCGAAACAATTGATATCTTTGAGATCCCACCCCTTGTGCTCTGTCAAGCGTTTGAATTCTGCCATTGGATTTCCCCTAGGGTTATAGGGAACGTCCGGATACTGCGCAAAGAACAGGTCCACCTCCCCCTTGAACTCCAGCTCGAAAGCTTGCTGAAACTTATGGAAGGCCGCCAGAGTGTCTGCCTCATCCCAGCCCTTCAACGTCCTCAACCTGTCGAGCTGGTATCTTGGTGAGCCGTCGCTATCGTATTCAATGAAATCTTTGTGGTGCTTGAAGAAATATCTGTGAACAGGAGACTTTGTTTCGTCCACAAGCGTCTTGAGGAACGTTCTCCGGGCCGCTTTGTATTCATCACTTGAGTTTTCCCATTTCTCTGCTTCTTGGAGGCGACGAAAGTCTGTTTCGGGTGGCTTTTCCGTGTCGCGGACGAAGTTCGGGAAGGCTGCAAAAAAGGGTTTTAGTAGTGGGTGATTTGCGGACTTTTTTTTAATCTCCCCGACGGGACCAGATAGTGTTGCTTTCCTGGCGACGATAGACGTTATTGCTTTCTTGCCAGCAGACGTTGTTAGTTTTTTATCGGTAGACGTTGCTACTTTCTTGCTGGCAGACGTTGTTTTCTTGCCCTTGGAGTACCTGAAGAACGCCGAAACTGAGAAAGAGCGGAATTGGAACATTGGGCAGTGGGTCTGAACGCTTGAAACTTCTGGATGTCTATAAAGGGAAGATCGAATTGCAAAGGTACTCCCTTTGCTAGCTGCGTATACCGTGTAGCTAGAGGGGCGATAGCCCTCACCAAGATTTGTTGTTAGTATCTAGGGTTAGGGTTACACAGTACTATTCAGGCCGCCCATTAATCTCTTGCCCAGCCTGCCCAGCCTGCACAGCCGACTCCTTTCAGAGCCTGCGGCGGGGGTTGGGGGTTGGTGCTTTGCTGGAGATCTACTGCGCTGTCAATTATGAAAAGGAAACCTACATGCATGTCTGTTGTATGTACATATATATGTTGAAGTCGAGCGTCCATGCTACCTATCAGTATATATCAGGTACGAACGGGTTGACTAGGGCAGGAAGAACGGGTTAGGACGAGTGAGGATGGGTGATGCTTACAAGGGTTGTGGTCACGACCTCTCGATCTCTTCTGTCTTTTCCTTCTCTCTCACTTCTGTATCAAGTACGAGCAAATCAATAAAAGCTTTCATCGTTCTCAACAATATATTCGCGGTCCCTTGAATTAAGAGCCATGGGATACGAACAACAATCGATATCTGGCCGTACAAATATTATATACCGCATTTATTTGGACGAGCCCGCAATCTGGCCATCGGCTACTATAGGGTTTAACAACTGACTCCGCTTTGGGAAGAGGGCCGCAAACCTAACCCTACACCCACTTCCTGGTACTAGTCACAAATGAATGAGATCTACTTGGAGATTCATGCTCGGGAAATCTTCAGTTTTTAATTAGCTTATATCACGTTGCACTGAGGATATGATCCTACATCCCAGAATATACTACACAGTACCTTTCCTACCGTTCCAGTGAGAGGATAGATGAATTATTACACAGGGTAGGAGGTGCGGGGCGCTCTCAGTACGATACATATATAGATCTATATATTATATATAATTACAAGTGTAGTGCGACCTCCGGCCGCAATATGCATGTAGTGAGTAAATAGGATTCCATAGTTCACTATAATTCTAATACAATGTCAGTCTCAAGTTGCCCACCTAGATTTGCTAAAGCCCGAGAGAGTGAAATAATACTGTCAAATCTATCTACGAAGTCAATTGTCTATGATATATATATCAGTTCTTTCTTCTCAATAAAGAGCTTTAAATATATATTAATATATAGCTCACAAGAAGGTATATGTAGTTTTACTCTCCTCGAGATGGTTCAAGGTTGATATATATAAGACTACCTGCAGTTTGCCCTTTCTAATATATCAACTCCCTTCCCTTCCCGGGTATCGGTAGTAGTTCTTTGTGGTATATATGCAGATTATTCAACCAATCATAAATGTTCCTGACCACGCCGATGAAGACTATACTGTTTAGATGTAACCAAAAGAAAAATCACTAATAAACAAAAATCAAAGCCCCTCTGCAACCATCCCTCAAACGCCTTGTTCTACTGTTCCTCCCCTTGAATTCTTCAATAACACCATACTACCTCCCCTCACTACATACCTCGAGGTCGACTCTCACCTCCCTCCTCTCCTCGCCCTCCTATCTCTTTCCTTCTTCAAACATATCACCAGCGTCGCAAACACCAACGCGATGTCCAACCCAGCTCCCCCATCCACTGCCAACACACCACCCAGCAGCCACGTCCCCCTCAAGACATACCTCGCCACCGTCACCTCGTTCCCCTCGGCATCCTTAATCACCAACTTGGTCGGGGCCAGTAAGTCCCACTTCCACTTGTACATCCTGCTGTTATACACAAAGCTCATCGTACTGCTCATAATCGCCTCCTGCTTGACGGCCACCTCTGGGTGCGTGTTCCCGTCAACCCACTTGACCGTCGCAAGATAGGTCTCCCAGATCGACGCATGGATCTCTAGGATGTTCGTCCCCGCCGGCGTGGACACCAGGGATGTGCTGGAGAACCGGGTAGGTTTTGTGCATGCCAAGAACGGGGGACTGGTGGCCAGCACGGTCTTGACGGAAGCGTCGACTTCCCGTTTGAAGTTCTTCGTGTCTGCAAGGGGGGCAGTAATGTTTGGGGTAAGATCATAGGCAGAGCATGACTTTAGAGAAGGGAGCATCGGCGGAGGGGTTATATGCAGGATGTGGGTTGGCGTGAAGTTATCTGTAGTTGCCATTTTCAGTGGCTTTTCGACGTATGACTTGAGCTTTTCGATGCAGTTGTAGAATCGCATGGCCTGGAGGGGATTTTCACCTTCGAGATATAGCGGGGAGATTTTATATTCTCCAAAATCATTGTTTTTCTTTCTGCGCTTAGACTGCGGCTTCGCCTTGTGATCATCGTTCTGTGGTACTAAGATCTTGAGGCTTGAAGTTATACGAGTTTTATGTTTGCTTTTTTTCGTGCGCTCGAGATCAACACCCAATGAGCATGAAACATCTTTCCACACTTTAAATACTACATAGCAGGAACACAGCAGATAAGCTCCAAAAGGCGTTCCTGGTAGAATCGCTATCAGATTGTGCTCTACAGTGTGCAATATGAAATTTTACGATAAGAAATACTAAGGCTCCGTTTGGACGCACCCTGGTTTATTTTGCTGTGTTTTCACTTCTGTAGAAAATTTCAATAAACCGAGAATAAACCGAATCCATGGAAGGTGACATTAAACCAACCTGTTTGGTTGTCAGTTTAAAATAAGAGAAACTTTACCTGTAATGGCCTAGTGCCAAAATATCCACAATTTTTTTTTTTTGGCTTTTATATTAATAAAAGAGGGCGACAGTTGTGAGAAACTTCAAATATTGCAATTGAAGTTAGTGATATGGGGGTGGGTGCGTGGTGTTGCCACTTGCTCCGGTTTATTTTTCAAGATTCACCTGTTTATTGTGGTTTTCCAAACACCCAGTTTATTTTTCTTTCTATGACAATAAACCCAATAAACCCAATAAACAGGGTCATCCAAACGGAGCCTAATATTGGGACATGAGATACGCAAAGCCCAACGCCAGCGCATTATTTCAGCTCGCCGGCTGAACCAGTCTGACTTTCAATTAAGCCACGATTAATATCTCAGCTCTTGAATATGAGTTTTATGCTTTGTTTTTTCTGCGATAACATGCCATTTAACGACATAAGCCATCACTCGGTACCTTAGTTCCGCTATGCACGTCCTAACCGAAGGTATGCGGTAATAAGGACAGGATATGCTTAGCGGTTTAAGGGATACTCTGGCAGTATGAGATACACGTGGGCAGTATAGAAAGTACGATGACAGTATGAGATATACTGTTACAATATATGAAATACTCCTGTGACAACACACACCATATAAAATCTACAGGTTACAACCTAAAAATTGCCTTCGAACATGGTTGGTGTGTTTATTAGCACGACGGAACTCATAATCTCACTCCAGAGCCGCTTCTAATGGGAATCAGTAGCTTGCAATTGCAGATGCGATCGGACTGGGAAATCCGGATAAAAGAACTCAAAAATAACCACGACGAAATCCGTCTTTGATTTAACAAGGTACCCCTACGCACTCGTATTTCTAGTACCTTTCGATCCGCGGTATAATCTATCTAGTCCGCCCCCCCCCCCCCCCCCCCCAAAATTCCCAACGAAAAACCCCCAGGCAGAAAGGCCTAAAACAGACCTATAAGCAATCGATATAAAAAAGGTCAACTGTCGATTTCCCACTTACTAATCCGCCTCCAGCTACAATAATTCCAAGGATTCCTTCCCATTTCGTAGATATCCTAGCAGTGCGTCGTCAAGATCATAATTAAAAACACTGTCTTTCCTTGTATAAAGGCATCAACTCTTACCTTTGACACTTTTCTCATGCTCAGTCTATCATCCACTCGTTGTATACTGGCTTCGAGCGATGCCTTCACCTAGAAAATCAGCCGATTCCGTGATTCAAACTCTACCTTTTTGGGGGTTGGAGCGAGCTCTCTTAGTCTAGATATTGTCCCTTCAATCTCAGGCACTCCATCCTTCCCGGTAGTACTGTGAAGCATGCGATGTCGATTGATCCCGTGGTCGCACTCCTCGGCTGGATTCTTGAGTGAAGGACCCCCTGTTTAACGAACAGCCTAAGCATCTTGTCTTGACAGCACGTTGTAGCCATAACCAACCCTCTCCATGTCAGCAGAGAAATTTGCAAGTGGACTGAGGAGGACCATCACTACTATCGTCGAGAAAGCTCGGTAGAGTAAGAACCAGTGGCGGAAGTGCGTCTTCGTTATGATACTGCCATTACTACGTTGTCCGGAGCTTCTGACGTACGTAACTCAGCTTCCCGCGAGGCGCTCCTGTCCGCCCAGCTAGCCCCTCCGTTACCTATTCCACCATGCTGAGGTATACCCTCACTCTACCCCTATTGTTACATTTAGTATTTCTCCATTCCCACACCCCCAAGAATCCTTCCAGCTGAGATATCAAATCTCAAGGGCCCAACCCCACTTCTACTCGAATCCACCCCGTCGACTGAACCGTCGATGAAACCTTTTTAAATGGGTGTGCGACGCGTGCAGCGGCTACAAGCATGGACTCATGGATGAAAATGTGCTCGGAAAATCTAGTCTTGAGGCTCTACCTGGCGCGCCAGGTTGGAGGTCCGAGGAGAGAGCCTCTTGGCACGCACCGCAGCAAGCGATTTCAAGTAAATATGATCATTGACACCCAACGCCACTACTGGTAATATCCTACATAATTTCCAGGATTAATGTTTCGCTCAAGATTCTGATAATACCCGGTGTGTCAACATTAGAAAAATAGCTTTTAAACAGTGGGTAATGACATCCCAGCAGTAGGAGTAGTGATCTGAGATTGGTAACGCCCCAACGGCAACTGCTCGACACCAACGCCTTCAAACTGCACCATAACCAAAACCAACAACCCCTCAACCAAAACAGGGCCAGAAACCCACAAAAAAGAGGGGATAGAGTTCAGTATCCAGGATTCCCACATGGTCACCCACTGCAGTACTAACTGGACGATATGTTGCTTGTGTATGGCAGAGCAGACGGGATGCCCAATTTTCAACATTCTATGACTGAACACGTGATATTGGAGGGTCTAAGGGGATTTATATCACCAGTCTTGGTATCACGGGCTATTGGTGGGTATGGGACGAAGAGTAGGATTATTTATTGTGCGTGGTATGATTTCTACTAAACCCAGACAAACTCATGCAGTACAATGGGCCTTCAAGTTTTTTCATGTAAACAAATGCAATGCGGGAAACAGCGGGAGCGGGTATGGAAATGATTGGAACACCCGCTTTTTCTTACACCTACAAAGCACACTCTCAACAGCTACAACACCCCAAAACTCACCACCGTGGGCCCCCTCCCCACTACCAAAACCCGCCGTCCAACGCAGCCGCCACCTGCTCTGCCACAACCTTATGCAACGCCGATGACGCTACGCCCACAATCAGCGCTCTCCAGCTCCCCAACCAAAAAAAAAAAAAAAAAAAACAGGCGCAATTAAGAGAGAAAGGAGATAACTCACGATGAAAAGTATCATACCACATGCACGTACTCGCCTGACACACGGTGGTCGCATCCGCATATCCATACGCCGTCGGGTTAGAAATGACCTGATTAAACGGCGCCTGGGTATCGAACTGCCACACCGTCGTCCCGGTCGTACCCGCCTTCCACGTCGCGGCGCGGGACACCAGCTGGCTGTTGTAGTCGGCGATCTGGGCGACCTCGTTGGCGCGGACGGCGTCGGAGTAGACGAGCTGCGAGGGCGTCTTTTCGACCGCTGCAGATGGGGGGTTAGTTTTGTGTTTGAAGTGTGAGAGGAAGCTGGGGAGGGGAGGGGAGGGGAGGGGGGAGGTACGTGGAACACTCATAAACATGAACTTCCTAGCACCAACGTCATACAGCTGCTGTACGAGGTTAAAGATCTCATCCATGAGCTTTGCATGCAGCGCGGCCTGGTCGACGTCCAGAGAGTACGAGTTCCAGATATCGTTAATGCCGATCCAGAAGACAAAGACAGAGTCATCACTACTCCACGGCCCGCCGGTGCCGAGGTACTGCAAGAAGGTCGCGACCTGGGTGGTGAGCGGCGTGCCCCAGGACGAGACGATAGAGTTGTTGACGGCGGCGCCGCTGGACGCGAAGTTGTAGCTGAGCGCGACGACGGGGTTGAACTCGGTCACGAGGTAGCCGACCCAGTTGGCGCCGCCGGAGGTGGTGGAGCCGGGGAAGGTGGGGTTGCCCAAGGGGTTGGAGGCGCTGGGGGCGGTGCCGCCGACCCAGAAGCCGGTTGCAGAGTAGGAGTCGCCGCTGGGGGGGGTGGGGGTGGGGGTGGAGGTGTTAACAGTTGTTTTCTTATGACAATTGGGAGATTGGGGGGGTATATATATACTTACAAGCTGAATATGTATTTTACATCGCCGGCGGCAGAAGTACTGGTGCTCGAGGCGGAAGTCGTGGTAGTTGATGTTTTCAGAGTACTAGTAGTGGTAGTTGATGTTTTCAGAGTACTAGAAGTAGTCGTCGAGGCAGTCCCAGGGATGCACTTAATTGGTCACTCACTGTCAATGATATTCCCAGTACCACCCACGAGATATCAACCGGAGTTAAAGCTATATGGCTGGATGTCTCTCATACCTGGCTGTACCACTCGTTCTGCGCAATACAGGTCGAGCCACTGGCGCACGTTGTAGCGCCAGTGTATCCTACAGTCCTCACCAGTCAATCGGCATCTCTCCCCGTTCACGAGCCCAATCGCACTCCAATTGATTGAAGTCAACACCCACCAGAACCACCACACTGTCCCCACTGCGCCACCTGCCCCATCACCGCGGGCACCACCGCAAGTATCGCAATCGCTGGCAGAATCATTTTCGTCGTTCGGTAAGTGTCTAGTTCGATTCAATTGCAATTGATTACACTCGAGAGTCGCCGATTAGCCCACCAACAGACAGCGAAAAGCCCACCACTTATAAACTCCGCCCACAACGTACAATGCTATCGGCTGTACGGAGCGGGGGGAAAGGGGGGGAAGGATATGAGAGTGGCCCCAGGGTTACTACATGTATTCCAAAGGCCCTGTACTTGTTGTGGTAATATAATTATAATGAAGCGTACGTATATATATTACATAGGCTATTCTAGATCTGCGGTCGCAACGGTTCAACGTAACCCGCGGGCCCTACTTCCGACGCTTTCGGTGGGGTTTACGCAGGACCCGAGGGCGGGAGATCTCGAACGGCCGGAGCAAATCAAAGCTTGTTTCTGATATAACCAGGGGGAGAGAGAACGATGCTATATAGATACATGTAGTTGGCTATATATCCCGATGTCCCTAGAGCTTCTCTGGATGTATCAGTAGTATACGGTTCCTGGCTGGGCAGCGGAGTGGCTTTCGCTCATGCGAGTGGCTGCCTGTCAAGGCCAAGCCGCAGGCAGCCATCCCGGTAGAAAGTTGTATAAATAGCATGCGCAACGGTCCCTTAATCAAGGCCTTGCGACCTTCCTATCTCCGATTCGTTGTCGAAACACATGTCACGAGAGGAAGAAAGGCGCAGCCGCCAATTCTATTGCTGCTGCACACTGGACGCGCTTAAATAGACTAGCGACCCCCCTCCGCGGTCTCTCCCTCAACACAGTGAAGTACAATACCGGTACCTGCACTTCACATTCCTCACCTCCACCCAGCTAGATAGATATCATCTCTCCCCCCTTAATTCCCCCCCCCCTCCCCCACAAACACACAATGAGTAGCAGCAGCAGCACCCCCTCCCACCCCCGCGAGCACCCCACAACCCTCCGCAAGCTCCTCTCCTCCCCCTCCCTCACCCGCCCCAGGGACTGGTGGCGCTCCCAATGCCTCCTCTACGAGCTGTCCGCGCCCGCAAAGGGCACCATCAAGACGTACCGCGACGCCCTCGAAGCGGCCATGAAGCGCCCGGGCGGCCTTGACGGCGTGCTCCGCCCCATCGTGAAGGAGCGCAAGCTCGGCGGCAGCTCGTGGGACCCGCTCAAGAGCGTGGTGGGCGCGAAGGTGGCGAAGGTGAAGGCCGCCCCAAGAGACGGGGCAGCCGAGAAGAAGGGGGCGGGTGCGAAGGGGGTGGTGAAGACGCCGCAGAGGGCGCCGAGGACGCCGAAGCCGAGGACGGTGGTGAAGACGACGAGGGTCACGAGGAGTATGAAGGAGAGGAGGAGGAGGAGGTGGTGGGGAGTACGATGGACTTTGAGATGGAGTATGAGACGGAGTATCGCGAGCAGTTCCACAAGTTGAACAGCGAGGGGAGGGTGGATGATCACGTGAGACGCAGGAGGGAGTCACTGTTTTATGGCGTGGATGGAGAGTGAGCGAGCTTTGCAATGAGATTTTGTATGTACTAGGACGATTGACATATGTATCCCTCTCTCCCTATCTTCCTCTTTTTTTTTTTTTTTAATTTTTTTTTTATTTCATGTTTATGACACTCCTTATGACTGTGTTTGCTTTGTAGACTGAGTAAATGAATAAACAAATCACCTGCGGGCAGTAGAATCACAGACCGTCACTCACGACCGCATTATTACACTTCTGGAATAGGCATAGCGCTGATCGACACTAGTGACAGTGGCCAATCGGAACTGGTGTGTGCCTTACGCTAATAATAATCATCTGCAAGGGCTCGAGTATCTGCTACTATTACTATTCTACCCTTAAGAGGCTCCTGGTGCAGCTATATGTGCTGCTGTTATTCACACTCTGTCTCGGAGGCCTCCCGGTGTCGTTCCAGGGCGATGGTTCTAATCGCTATGCCCTTGATCACAATTCCGGAATGTCTTTGATTTTTAATCGGTCGATTTCAATTATAATGCTGTTCGAATCCATGCACCGCACTAGAAAACAACTCTGGGAGGCATTAAACTATGGTCAAAGGGCCTATCAACGCAATCTATAATCAATCCTTCTACCAATAACATATAACCTATAACCTATAATCTAAAATCCAAGGCCGTACCAAATCTCTGAACAACTAACAAATACCCCAATCATTCGACGCACAACTCCATGGATCCGCCAATCTAGTTAGTACATCATCTCGAAATCCCTCGTCCCCCTCATCCTCTGTCTCCGGAACGCAACAAGACGAGCCCTGTCAGTGTTTCTCCATCTGTATCTCTCGCCAGCAGAATCGTCATCTAGTGCTTCCTCCTCGCCGACCAATTTAACGCTGGGTCGGACGATGGCGGGAGGTTTATCTCCTGTAACGCTTGACTCCCCGTCTTCCGAGCCGGATTTATCCCCATTCTCACCTCCTTCTTCCTTGTCACTCCCTTCTCCCACCTCCACATCGATACCTTCACCACCATCCTCACCCACGGTTGCCCGATGATAAACCTCCTCCCCGTCACTCTTAACCCAGACGAACATCTCATCCCCCTCTTCCAAATCCCATTCTCCATCTTCATCATCTGCTTCATAACCCTCACTATCGCTATCTCCATCACTATCACTATCTCCATCATCCCTCACAAAGACCGATACGCCGCCCTCCTCTTGATCCTCGGACTCTTCAGTATCGCTCTCGTACCCCTCGCTGTCACTATCGGTATCAGCACCGGGTTTCTGTGGAGTGCGAAGCTTCTCGAGCTGCCAAGAGCGCACACGCTCTACGAGGGTGTCGTATTCGGCTTCGCTGTCGGTGGAGCTGACGTTGGAGATACGATTTTGCGGGCGGTTGAGGGTACGCGGTGTTTCTTCGTTGCTGGAGTAGTTGGAGCCGGTGGAGTTGGATACACTCAAGTAGGAATTGCTGGCTAGGGATGACATGGTGATTTTAGTTACTTTTGGTTGTATTGAAGATGTTGTGGATGTGGATGTGGATGTAATGGATAGTCCTGGAGGGTGGTTATGATTATATACTTGCGCGAAAGCGAAAGCCGTGTTGAAAACTATGATGGCCAATGTGGCGACCTTGAAAGTTGACCACGTAGGTTTCATAGTGTTGTTTTTAGAAGGTTGAAAGTGGTGGGATTTTGAATGCGACCCTTCTTGATAAATTTTGATGAAATATGCGGATGAGTCTGTGATATTACCGCCAAGGCTAGTAGTTGCGAAGATGGCAGTAAGGAAGATGTTGAGTTTTGAGGTCTGTGGTAGAAAATTGATCTGGTAGGTTCGCGATACAGCGAAAACTCCCCATACTGGTACTCTCTATAAATATTAGTTTTCGATAAGAGCACCGCCCTCAGACTTTTTTCTCATCGTAGTTATAAATTCTAGCTACCTCCAAGTGTACTACAAGGATACCCCTCTATTCCGGTCTGGAGATCCAATCCAAAAGTTATTAACCGTTGCAGAATGCTCCACCGCATCGCTTTTGAAACAGATTAGTCTCTTGCCAATATAGAAGACGATAAGATGTTTCCCGCGCATACCATCATGTCCCATCAAATTCTTTTCAGATTGAGCGCAACGTAACTCACCCTCGAACTCACTCCCAACTTCAAAACGCACCCCTCACAACCATCATGATCAGGACCCATCTGCACATCCTCCAGAACACACTTCCACATTCTCCACCCCTCCACCATGCAAAGTTCAAGTCCCCATGCCTCCAACCAATACCCAGCAAAGAACAGTCCGTATGTTCCACGCCTTTCAGAATTCCAGGCCGTATAAAGGGCATCCCTCCCAACTCCCACATCAAGTCACCCAACAACACACACAATCGCACGAACCAAATTAACACTAAACTTATCATCCAAACTATGAGATACGGCTCTTTTAGGGCCGTCTCTCTTTATAAACTCATGTATGCCTGGTACGCACTCCGGGAGATGGCCTCGGGGATGCGTAGAAATAGACCATCGAGAAAGAAGCGGTAAGGGCGGGGGGGTATGGGACATGCGGGGCGGCCGGGGGTGACAGGGCGGTGCTTCCATGGTTTTATAGAGGAAATCGCTTAGTGGTGAGAAATTAAATGTGGTTTGAGATAAGTAGGGGATCGACTGCTTCTATCGGATGGATGAATCACCGGAATACAAGAGATGGTTGTCAACCTGACTTCAGGCCGAATGTTATCCTATGATGGAGTGGAGGTATGTGGAGAGTGTGGCGTTAGGAGTGAGCTGCCTAAGGCCACCTTCAAGTACTTGATTACTGACAGTACTAATCATGCCAAGAATGACTACATGGTATCCTAAGGATATAACTACACCTTGACTCCCGTCTTTTGAACAGCACGTTTTCTTTTCTTTTTTTGAATATTCCATTTCGTTTGCTGAACTCTCCTAAGTGTACTATCATTACAGTATGATCAGCATCTTGAATAGATTTAGGATTACTATACGTCTACTCTCAATAATCAGTTCCGCGCTTATATCAGATAATTTATAAGTACATTTACTTCTTATACCTATCAAATTGAGCCTGGTAAATTTACATATATCAATTGGTTCAATCAGGTCGTTACTTGCACCAGGCCAGAGTGTATGCATCTCCGTTTGCCTAGTCGATATTTGAGTATAATAGTCACTTCAGGTATGCAGCGCAGCTAGCAGTCAAACGAAAGTACGAATAGATACATGTAGTCATATAAGTGAGTAGAGAGAGCGCCAAAGGCGGTAATTCCGATGCATATCGATTGTCAGGCCGACATCAAATGTTAGAAGCCTCTTTCTCGTTTGATAGATGCGGGGGTTGTGATGTGTGGGGACGCACATTGTGTGCGTTGGAACCAATCATGAATCACATGAAGTCATAGAGAGGGCCGTGTCATTTCTGCGCATGCTCCTAGACATCACGATTTCCGCTTTGCGTTACGTTACGGCCCTGCACATATTCTTATTTGGCCTTAAGGTCTCAAAGACATGGTTGGTTTTGGCATTGCAATTAGGACCGGTCGACGTCAAGAGCTTATATATTATTCGCGTCGACCCCATATCGATAAAGGCCCCCCATCTATATATCTAAACCCACAGAGCCCACCTATTCTACTGAAATCAAGGATTGATCTCGATATCTCATTATTCAGTCCTCTTTCCAGCAGGATGTTTAGTTTTACAGCTAACACCACATCTCCTCCTCCTATTACCACGCTTCATGATCATGATCATCCTCCCGAACCTATGGACCTAGACACAGAACCCTCAATTAACAATACACAAGCTATTAAAGAAGAAGGAGCTTCTCAAGCTCTCACGCTTTATTCCTATCCGAACACAGAAGCCTCAATGGCCGAGACACAAGTTATCGAAGATTCCCAAGCTCTCACATTTTGCGCTAGCTGCTCAAAAACAAAAGCTTCAAAGACCCAGGGTACACAAACTATCGAAGAAGCCCCACGACTAGCCCTCAAGACCTATGTTGATCCAAACACAGAAGGTTCTAAGGCCAATGGTAATGAAGTTATTCAGGTCCCTGCTACACCACCACAACCCCTACCTCGTTGGCGAGCAGTCTGGAAAGTTCCATACTCAGGCGAAGCAACAGCTACCCCACCTCGACGCGATGATATCGACCAGCACCCCAAGAAAGCGCGGAAGGTCACTTTTTGCGGCCTACCGCCCGAGAAGGCCTCCAGCTCACGTGCACCAAAAAGGCCCCTACGCCGCAAGAAACACCACCGGCAGACAAACACAAACACGTCAAAGATCCCCGCACAATATCCTCGTGACACTACTGTGACTAGGGCATGGGGAAAGCTTGTCGCGACGGAGCATAGTGATGCGCCGTGTCACGCTTACAACACCATGTACCTTCTCGCAGCGTTTACCTCCATCGGGCGGTCACGATCTTGCACATACAGATTCAACTATCTGACAGTCTCCAGGGTCCATATTCGGATAATCTTGGCCGAATCGGATGATGCATGGCCCCTCGACAACATGGACCCGAAGAAATGGCGCGCACGGCCATCCATGCGGGCTTGGATCAATATTGAAGCATGCAATGGCTGCTTTATCAATGGGGAGAGGAAGATCAAGGGCTATATAGGCAGAATTTACAATGGAGATTTTTTACAGTTTTTCCAGCCTGACGGTGTCTTCACTTACGAATGCAAGCTCGCGATTGGTGACCACGAAAGACCGCGAACCTCGATTAATGGTGGCGCCAGGACATTTCTATATTCACCTCTCAACAGAAAGCGGAAACGAGAGAGAGACGAATAAGTGGGTGGGAGGAGGTGGAACTGTGGAAGCTGATAGGAAGAAGATTAATAGAGGTTCGATACCCTTGCCCAGAAGTGTTGTAGGATTTAGCTGTGTAGATACTGACAGAACGTAACCAGATATATCGGAGGTACCTTATCTTGGAATGTGTGTACCCCGTGGAGCTTCGATTCTTAGGCACCAGGGATGGATTGCGGTTATGTATTGCGGTTGTTTAGGGTGTTGGAAGTATCATAATATATATATCGTTAATTCTCACGTAGCACATGAAACGGCTTATTTATAGTCCATGCATATCCATTACTAGACTGTGAAATCTTCACGCCTGAAGCAAACATGGGAGGCCTTGACATCTTTAGTAACTATTCCCGGCTCATTGATTCCTCGAGAAGCCCTGGGTCGGAAACCCAAATATCGAGAATGCATAAACTCGACTCATGGCGTCCTATGGAAAAAAGTGGAGAAACCATTATACACCACTCATGTGCGGTACCACTGAGGTGCGGAAACTTGGATCAATTATGTTCAGAGGCAAATTCGTCATAGAAAGTGTAAGCCTAAGTGTAGAGATGGTAAATGTTTCGTTGGAAATTAGTGTTTACTTTTTATAGTACTGGAATAATCGTCCGAGTGATATACCATGATGCTAACGGGTGTCAGTTGTACGCACTTCCCTTAACTACAGTAGTAAAACCAGGGTGTTTCGGATCATGGCAGTATATCGTTTCCGTAAGGCCAGCTTTATTACGGGATTCTTATCATTACCGAACTCGTTGAAAGGTTCACTCCATACACTATTGCTTGATAAGAATGCCGTAGTACTTCAGTGTTGAGCCAAGCTATTTGATTTCTGGGCAAGCCTGCTCCGCCAGGACAGACACACCCCCATCCGACCCAGGCATGATAAGATCTGTGATTTTAACGCCAAGAAGGTTTCTAGAGTCAGCTCAGAACAACATTTTGACGCCAGCATCCTCACGATCACCAACCTGACGGCCTAGTGGGTTTATCATTTATCTAGGAAACCCACCAGCGATATGTCAGAGAAAAAGAGAAGTAAAAGAGTGAGTTCGGTACCGAGGATTCCCACATGGTCACCCACTGCAGTACTAACTGGGCGATATGTTGTTTATGTATGGCAGAGCGGACGGGATGCCCAGCTTTCAACATTCTATGACCGAACACATTAGGGCCAATGATTGTAGCTCCTTGTTTTTTATTAAAAACAGGCCGATACTTACCCCACGCCCCCTTTGCGGCCTGGCGCGAGACCCGCTAGGGTTATGTAGGTGGGGTTGTTTATGGTTAAGTACTTTTTAGGATCCATGCTCGAATTGCCCGCCGACCATCTAATATGTATTGAAACTCGACTTTTCTAAAGTCCTTGCACTTTGATTAGTCGAGAGCGATACGGGCGGTTTAGTAAGCACGACACATCAAAATTCTGAGCATTCACGATTGAACGGGGCCGAAGGCCCCCCCATTGAAGGCCTTAACACTTGAAACTGATACCCATAATCCAAAATACAACTCGCGGTCGCGAGGTGGGCCACTACTAGTACTTATGTATACACGTACCCTCACCTTCACCGAGCAGGCCCTCCAGGAGAAACTAGAAATTGATACAGACTCTCTTCATCAGCTTTGGAACTTACCCACGCTCGTACTAGGCATCCGTCTGTGTTCATTTACACTCGTTTATTTCTGTTAACGTTCGCAAATATCATTCGTTCTAGGTTCCTTCAGCAGTACGTTATCATGATGACGTGAATAATGATGTGATTATAAGGCTTGAAAGGCTTCGCCTTCAGTTTCTTGATTCTTTGCTCAGAATTTTATCCCGATCATCTGTATGGGCGGGTATTAGGAACACCGTGTAGCGGGCATAGGTACAAGTACTTTCTTCCAAAGAAACCTGAGTATCTACTTAAGTATAGTATGCCTGTCTTTTGCGAGACGGATCATCCTCCTGGTAAAGTTTAGGAATATTGCATTTCATAGGATGCCTACAATATAAGAATTTGATAGGTACGACCTATATCTGGCTTCGCCCTGCTCACTTCTCCATGTTGCCCACGTATGGGATCGCCAGTACGTTGTTGTTCACAAGGGTTCATCCCACGCTCCAGGCTACAACTCCCTAGTGGTCTTGGCAAACCGCACCTTGCTTGATCACCACCAAACAACGTTCCAAACCACAGCAAATTTGGCGCGAAACATCTCGGGTTAAAAGTCGTCCAATGCATGATGCGGCCATATGGAGGAGAGACAACTCGAAACAACACCTCTCGGCAAGGTACTGGCAAACTTAGTAATATTCCCTCTCCCCGGTCCTGCACTAGTAGTATTAACAAATGCACAGCGACGTGATCCTTGCACAACAGCAGCCCTGCTGGCGCAATGGTAGCGCGTCAGACTTCTATCTTGATATCTGAAGGTTGCGGGTTCGAGCCCCGCGTGGGGTTGTTAGCATACAATCATTTTTGTCTTTTTTGTCCTGCCTTAAGCTTCCTACCTGCGATCCAGTCATTTCCGCCTCATGAGACGCACCGCGTATCATTGAGCGGGGTACAGATGGAGGGGCAGCTGGAAGTAATCTTATAACCATTATGCTTATCTTACATTACTCAGAACCCTCTCTTCCTTTGGATGTCTCGACTGCCCTCCTCAGTAATTAACAATTAAATTCCCCGGGTACGAAAAAGACAGCCGCCAATCATCCCACCACAACTGTTTGACCGCCGTTTCAACCTGCGCCGCCACAACACCTCAGGTACCACCACACACACATGCATGAAGATCCATCGATCAGGCAGAAACGTGTGTGGGTGGTGCTAGGTGCATAAGCATAACCCGTCACTCGGCCCGCCCTCTGCACTGTGCCACCGTGGTGCTCTCCTCTACTGCTACTAGCAATGCAGCGATTGGAGGATTGCAGGGACGTCATCGCGGGGCGTGTGTGTATGCCATGAGATGCAGAGTTTCTTTTTGGGCTGCTATTAATAGTGGTGACGGAGGGGAAGGAGGGTGGAGGGGGGGCGGAGGAGGGTATTACTAACCGGACTAACAGCTCATGGAGTAACTAACCAACAGCATTGAGAGTTGCACTTTCAGAACTACAGCTACATAGGGATATATATAGTAGCATCAGTACGAAGGATCTGGTGGCAGCCAGTAGTAGAGTCTGTAGGATAGATGTGGTGGTGGAGAGCGTAGATAGGGTGTGTAGGGTATGTAGATAGAGGTCTTTATCTGTGCTACACACCTTCGGACATCGACGACAGTGCCTGTTCCTGTCGCGTGTCGCGCGTGGGCCATGAGGTATAAACATGCAAACACCTAGGCAGGTACGCTCCTCCACCGCACCCTGCCTCTCGGTTATTTAAGGTGTGTGTGGGTGGGTGGGGCAATTGAAAGGGGGTCGCTTTAGTAGTATACTTGTAGGTATAAGATCCAACAATCACACCGTTAACTGTTAAACAGGAAGGTGGTGCACGACGTTATTATATACAAGGTCCGTCCATTGTTGGTGATTAAAACACTGAGCACAATATAAATATATGCGCAAGTAGAAAAAAAACCCCAGTAAGATAAAAAATCCATACAGCACATTTCAATTAAAAACGACAAGCACCAGTAAAAGCCCCATGCCTAGGCCTAGGCCTGCGCTGCCCCCAAAAAGACCCAACTTTACGCCCCCGACCCCGGTCCCCACCTCGCTCCCCCACACCCAGTTTTATAAATACAGCCAGACAGCGGAACCAAGATAAAATAAATACAACAGAAAGATAGCTATGCCGAGAAAGCAAAAGAAGGGTCGTTGTTTTATACATAAAAAAGGTAGATTATATATATGGGGAGGGGGTAATGGTATCGTAAATATAATCATGCACAGTAAAAGAGATAGAAACGGAAAAAAGATATTACAATACAAAACTAGAGACACCACATAGGAAAAGGAAAGAAGACGGGCCTCTCGCACTGCGATAACCCCAACCATAGCCAGGAGAAAGAGAAAAGAAGTGATTGTAGCGAACGTCGTAGTATGGTGATGATGATGGTGATGATGATGATGATGATAGTGGTGAAAACATCTATAGCGTAGTCTATAAGGTTCGCGATAGTAACAATCCCGCAATAACGAACGTCTCCGTCGGCAGCCTCTCCCTTCCCCTACCACCCAAAAGTCTCCGAATGCAAATACACCTCCTCCCTCTCCTCGCACGCCCAAATATCCGGCTGCATCTTCGCCACCGCATTCGCCACATCCACCTTCATCTGCTCGGGCCCGCACACATAGATGCACGTGCGCTTCCCAAACGTGCTACTCCACGGGCCCAACCCATCCTTCAACGGCGGCCTCCCAAACTCCAGCAGCACCTCGTCGCCCAGCGGCGGCAGCGCCGTCGGCGTCGTCGGCTCGTTCCCCGTGCTGATCCCCGAAAACCGCTGTGTGTTGATACTCATGCCCGACAGCCTCTGCCCCACGCTCGCGCGCCTCCCCATGCTCGACCGCTGCTGCAGGCGCGGGCTGGGCGGGAACTTGAAGATCGGGCTCGCACCGCTGCCGTCGGTGGTGCTGCTCTCGGGCTCGGCGCTGCTCATCGTGTGCATCTCCTTCTCCATGCCGAAGCCCCAGCCGAACGGGCGCTCCTCAAAGTCGACCGAGTTTGCGGTCGGCGGGCGCAGCAGTGCTGGCGGGGGCTTGCGGAACGAGGGCGTGATGGGGGTATTGGGCCATTCGCGGGTGGCGGAGACGGCGTGCTTGGGTAGCTCGACAGGAGTCTCCTCGGTGGCGTAGTATTGGCAGAGGAGCATGTTGCGGGGGAGGGCGCGGGCGGCGGCGGAGATCTCGTCTTTGAACCATTCGAGTGATTCTGCATGTTGTTAGTTTATTTACTTCACCAAGTCTCATTCGGCAGAATATCAATCATTGACATGCATATTGGGGACATACCAAAGTGCTTGACCGTCCATACAATCCTGATATCCCGCGTCAGTGCCTCCCCCTTCTTGATCTTCTGCACCAAGTGCTGCAGATGCGCCACAATGGGCGTAATCCCCGACCCACCCGCAATCATCAGGACCGTTTCAAACGCCTCCAGCTTCCTCGACAGCCCTCCATACGGCCCGTCCAGGTAGGCCGTAAACGTCGCGTCCGGCATGCTCCTCGATATGTTAAACGCCTTCCGCGTGAACCCCTGGTGCGGCTTGAACACCAGCACCAAATCATTATACCCGTCGCCGCCCGCCTCATCGCTCATCACGCTGGACACCGTGAACGGGTGGTTATCATAAAAGCTGATCCCGGGCATCCTCAAGAAAATATGCTGCCCTGCCCTCCACTTCATCCTCGTCGGAATGGTGACCTTGACACCATCGTTCGTGAGCGCCGTAAAGCGTGCAGTATCACCCCCAAAAACCTTGCGTGTGATAAACCAGTTTGTGCGCATCGTGAAGCGGAACAGCAGATGTGTGGCCCAGATGCCCACCGTGGCATACAGAAAGTGCCACGACTGCAGCATATTCGCGCAGTGCCAGAAGAGCATCGCAATATACCCCACGCCGCAAAAGATATGCAGATGCACCCAGCCCTCATAGCACCACTTCCTGATGAACGGCAGACTCCCAAAGCACAGAAAGAGCACGCACAGCAGCGCGCCCACGCCGTTCCAATAGACGATGTGGTCACGGAACAGGGCTGCAAGCGTGCCTGAGCCACCGTTGCGCAGCGGCTCGATAATAAAGGGCACTGCATGCACAAGGCTGAAGAAGCCGAGGAAGTAGCCAAGCCAGCGGTGCAGCACGTTCAGCTTCTCGTGCCCAACACCGGTGATTACACTGATGAGGTTGCTTTTCATGCCGAGCATGAGCACGAACGGGGTCATTGCCAGTGCAGTCATGCCGCCTCTTCCCGCGAGCGGTGGAGGCCCGAATCGGGGCTCACGCTCGTAGTACGGGTGCTGCGTAAACACATACAGACTCGGGTATGCGAAGCCCAGTATGATGAGGATGCCGAGTCCGAAGCTGGTGGTGCCGATGCGTTTCCAGGAGCTGCGGGTGTAGCCGAACGATCTCAGATGCAGCAGGAGGCGGTCGAATGTTGATCTCTCCTGCGAGAGGAGGTACTGCTCGTTGTGTCGGTCATTGGCGTGTGTGTACGACAGCCTTCGGCGGTCCAGCAGGATATCGTGCAGGTTGAGCAGTCCAAACAGGACTAGGAGTGCCAGCGCAAAGTAGACGAATGCCAGAGCATGCTGTCCTGCCGATGTCCATGGCAGGGCTTTCCGTCGCTGGTAGAATATCACCTCGAGGTCCGAGTTGTTGTATAGGTTTGGGTTGAGGACATCGCCGGGTCGGAGGGGTAATGACATCTTTGTGTGTTTCTTCTGTTCTATTATTGTGATCCGGCAGGCTACACGGGGCCCTTAGGACGACTGCAGTGTCCGGTTCGACAAGATGAGCTGGCCGATTGGGGGAGGGTGCTGGAGAGGGGTGTTTCCTTGTTGGGTAGCTGCTGCTCTCAGAGCATGTCCAGTCCTTCACATATATCTCTTGCTCCGTTAATGTTATGTACGTACTTCTTCCAGGCCAGTTGGAGAGTGGTCTTTTCTTCTGTATCACGGGCGACGGGGGCATGCCGGCTCTACTTATTCATATTGCTCCTGGCCCGTGAGTGCCTGCAGATTCTTTCCCAGTGTGTCTGTAGTGGTGTGGGTGTGGGTGTGGCTGTGTGTGCCTCCTCCTACTACTCGATCCCACCCACACAGTCTTTCCCTCCTCCTCCTCATCCTAATCCTCCTCCTCAACTTCCACCCCCCCCCCCCCCCCCCCCCCAACCCCCCCTGCCAGTAAGCATCCCCCCAAGCGAGAAGCTTGACGGGGGAAGCGAATATTAGACCTCCTGCCCCTGCGTTCCCACGCCTCTAACCCCAAGCAGAACCCACCAACTTCAGGGCCCAGCCAATACCTGCCCGCAGCCCACTTCCTCACACGACAAAAGCGGATTGCGGCCATTCCGGAAATGACCATTTTTTTTATTTCGCAAGCTTGGGCCATCAATTCCATCGCGAAGACGCAACGATTGGAACAGCGGCAACGAGGGACCTTCCCAGACCCTGTTCGTGCAGCGCGGTGGTGCATGGGTTGGGTCCGTCCTGGCTCTTTGCTCTAGGTACTCTGCCCTCTAAGCGCCCGGTTCGGATGGCCAGTCGAGACCCTAGCACAGGTGTTTTACGACACCACTGGTAACCACACATACACTCTACCTTCCTACTTACTACAGTAAAGTACCTACGGACAGACAGCCAGGCAGGCAGACTCGCACGGAACGCAGGAGCAGTTCATCCCCCACAAAAAATATCAGACGAAAATTCAATAGAAACCCGTGATCTCAGCAGTCTGCGCTCGAAGCGCTGGTGGCCATACCATAACCATGCCCACCTACATACATAACCTGGACCATGGAATAGAACCGATGGAAGCTTCGGTAGAATAGCATTCTGTGTGTCCTACATTACGTAGGGCAGCAAGCGCTTGACTGTCAAGTTTTTTTTGTGACATCGGATGAAAAAATGATAATGAAACCTAACGTATAACCATTATGATGATGATAATCATAACGTGATCTTGATATTCTGATAACGCCGGCCATGGACGGGGAGGATTTAAATTCTCCTTGACACCACACACCCGACGGGCGTGATCAGTGATCTATCTTGGGTAGGTAAGCGATCACACATCATGATAGCACGGAGCTACTGCTGCGGTATGTAAATCATTGCTCGAGCACGGGAATCGGGTGCTCAATGTCAGGGGCACTATCTGTCTGTCTGTCCGTCCGCTACTCTAGAATAGAGCACTCTAGCATCAGTATTGCGCGAGAGTCTCGCTCGGACGGATCATCCCGTGAGTACAGCTAGAGCAGCTCCAAAAAGTCCAACTCAACTCCCGGCGGGCTCGCAAAAGAAAAGAAGCTAGCTAGAGCAGCTAGCTAGCAAAATGTGCAATTCCTCTTGACGCCCTGCCCTGCCAACTCTAGATCAGTATTCCGCATGTAACTAGAGGAAAGCAGAATACCACCAGCACCCATCCACGCACACAGGAATGACAGGCAACCCTTCAAGCCGTTGTATGACGCCCCATTTTCAATTCTTCACAAGCAGCTGCCGGGATGGTAATGGTGGGTGTTGCTCTTTTCTTTTTTCCTGCCCTCGCCGGAGGAAAGTGTGATGTGGGTTGAGTTAGTTTCCCCTCATCACCAACCAACCAAACAACAGCACCAACCGGGGGGGGCCAACCAACAGTGGTCTCACCTCGGTGTCGGCCCTGCTGCAAGCGAGGCAGAGAGAGGAGAGAGGGCGAGATAGAGCAGAGAGCTAGAGAGAGAGGCATGTGCAGGATCGGATCTATCTGACTGTGGTCTTTTCTGTTTCGTCCGGGTGAGAGGGGGGGGGGGGACGAAGTGCTGAATTACGGATGTCATGACGGGGCAGAGTACAAGCTGGTAGATAGAGTAGGTATGGTGACTATTCCGATATCGAGATGTCTCAAGCGTAATAATAATAATACTCTGCGCTGAGTACGTAACATACCTGGGTCTGTTTGTGTCTATCGGTACTCTTGTCTACCTCCACCTGCCGTATGTCTCGACCCGCGCGCGATAGTCTACATTCTTTTCTACACTTCTTTTTTCATAAACCCACATATCTATGTATATGTAAGTATTCGATATAGATACACGCCCGCCATGGTCACGATACCTTCTTACCCCAAACCTCAATCCCCATCCCATCAAAAAGCCCCGTCCCCAAGTTTTCCCTCCCCTCCATCCAGCAACATAACGCCTTACGCCTCGCACCCCGCCTCCCAGGTTCACCCCCTCTCCCAAGTCCCAGTCCCTCACTCTCTGCACAGCTGCACATACAATTTATCCACCCCCGGGTCCAGCGCTCACTCTCGCAGCAAGTAACGTGAGCACTTGTCGCGCCAATGGCTGGTTCGGTAACGGCCGACATGTGGATGCACTGTGCAGTCGTCGAGAATGCAAGAAGGCATAGATCGGCCACTGTGCATATAAGGCCGTAAGTGGAAGGCCGGGGGTGGGGTGGGGTGGGGTGGGGTGGGCTCGGGTCGAGACTGTGGTTTGCGGCGGTCCCGGGGGTGTGGTCTGGCCGGTGGGATACGAGGGAAGGGAAGGGACAGCACAAGACAGCCTTTTACAAAGGAGAGTAAGGACAGGATTTGCGGGCAGCGTCCGAGGTGGAACTTGACTTTGAATTCTAGTGACGATAGGTATTCGTACTCAGTAAGGAGATATTCTGCTGTCACAGTGTCAATCCCGTAATATCTCCAGCCTGGTGTCCAATGCGGTAGTATGCTTACAGCAATCAAGATCATCGTCAACTCCGAGTAAGTAGGCAAAGTAATCATCTATTTCTATTAATTCCTAACCCTACGCCACTGGTACTGTTCCCAGCCAAACCCATCCATCCATCCTTCCATCCATCCAAATCCCCGATCCCAGCACCCAAGAACTTATCCCCGACCACGCATCCACGCAACCACGCTTCCATCCCCATTCACCCCATCCATCCATCCATCCATCCATCCATCCATCCATCTTTCCTCTCAGCTCGGAACCCAAACCGGATCTCCGCCCGGCCGCATCTCCGCTAGAGCAGAGTTAGACTCGAGCTCGTAATATTTGCAATCAACTACAGTACTGTAATTAATTGCACTTCCCAATCAATCGAGATTGAAATACCGTTCCTGACAATAAACAAGCAACACTCGACGCCGATCACTGTCCTTGACCCTAGAATATTCTATCCACTGGTTATAATCATCAAAAATAGGGGGTATTCTCTCTGTAAGCGAATAGTAGCGCCTCTCCTCCAGCTGTGTAAATACATGTACTCACTGATGATTACCCAATAGCCCATCCTCTCCCAGATCTGAATACCCAAACACTCCAACTACGGTCCAATATCACCAAATGTCCGCCCCCTTCCAGGCCCTCCACAACTTCCGCGACATCGGCACATCCATCAACAGCCATGACAGGAAACGGTATTATTCCCTTCCCACCCACACACCCCCACGCAACAAACCCTAACCCTGCCCGCATGCATGCAGAATCATGAAACCACACATGCTCTACCGCTCTGCCCGCCCCGGTACGTCCCCCCTCCCATTTCCTCCCATCCCCGCCGCAGCACTGACCATCTAACAGACGACGCAACCGCGGCCGACCGCGAGCGATTGATCAGCGAGTATGGCATCCGCACCGTCATAGACCTGCGCACAAAGTACGTCCTTATACATAATATCCGTGGCTACTACTACATCTGTGAGAGCTACATGCTGATATGGACAGATCAGAGCATATCAAGCAGGCGCGGCAGCGCGCAACACCCGTCGTGCCGCTGGAGGGCGCGCGGACGGTGCGGATTAATTTTATTGGGAGGCGGTTTGAGATTGCGTTGTTGCGCAGGCTGGCGTGGTGGGACTTGCTGTATGTTTCGCCTTTGATTTAATTCTATCTCTGTGTGTGTGGTGGGGTCCCGGTAGTGGTGTATCACGGCATATTGCTACTAGCTATTGGGATTCTGTTGTACACACATCCATATCAGACAATGATATAGCCAACACTAACACCGAGTATCTAGATGTTTCCTCGTCCTCTTCATCCTCCAATTCCGCCTCACCGCAATCTCCCTCCTCGGGCGCAAGGTCCTCCGCCCCCGCGGCCTCCCAGGCCTCTGCCACGACTCGCTCCTCCACTGCCAATCCGAGATCCGCGAAGTACCCTCCTCCCCTCCCCTCCAACCCTGCGTCTAAACTCACTAACACCACACTAGACACTGACCATCCTCAGTTACCCCACCTCCTACCCCGTCCTGCTACACTGCACCCAAGGTAAAGACCGCACCGGGCTGATCGCAATACTGATCCTCCTGCTACTCAACGCGTCGGTGCCGGCTGTACAGAAAGAGTACGAGGAGTCGTGGGAGGGGCTGGAGGGTGTGCGGGAGGGCATGGTGAGGGAGATGGTGGAGGTGGGGTTGGGGGAGGAGTTTGCGGGGACGCCTGGGGAGGTGGTGGGGGAGGTGGAGGGGCTGTTGAGGGAGGGGTGGGGGGGTGTGGAGGGCTATTTGGAGAGCGTGGGGGTGGATGTGGAGGGGTTGAGGGGGGTACTGGCGGGATAGTGTGGTGGGAGGGGGGGGAAGGTGGAGGGGCGGTGGGTATATAGAAGTGGTTATATTACATATTTTCCGCATGAGAAGAAGCAGTTCAAGACATGATACCTACATAGTCAACTACTAGAGTCCACCAGAGCACCTTTCGGGTGGCATCGCTTTAGATTTCCTAT